GAAAGTAGGAGAGTTTTCTGAAAATACTGACAGGCTTCTGAAGGGTCTGCTCTGTAGGCTGGTCCCCTGTTGGCCAGCTCAGGCGGGGTTTAGAGTGGGCCTCGACAGAATCTGGCCTCTCTGGGGATGAACTGGGGATTTTGATCGATCGTCTATCTCAATGAATCAGAAAATCCTAGAATGCCTGGGATAAAAGGAATCCTAGACTCCAAGTTTAATTGCATTCCTTAGCTCTTCGGTGAGGAAACAGGCCCAGGGGAGGGACTTGGCGGGCCAAGGCCTCACGGCTAATTAACAGCAAAGCTGGAATGTCAAATCTCCAAAAGTTGCTATGGGCCCCGCTGGGGGCTCACGTGTTAGAGATGTTTATTAGAAAAACAAAATACCTTCCTTTGTGATCACAGTTCTTTCGAGATCTCATTCAAGTTGCTTTTTCTTCCCTACCCGTGCCCTGCCATCCACTTCTGGGACATGGCTGCCCCAGTCGTGATTCACAACAGGGTTTCCTTAAAGCGGGGTGCCTGGGACCCTCTCCCTCAGACTCGCCTGGGAGCTTATAGAACAAGCAGATCTCTGGGCCCGCCGCCAACGGGGAATCAGAATCCCTGGGGCTGAGGGCCCACGAATCCATGTTTGTTGTTCGGGATGTCGACTTCCGCCTCGAACTCATTTCCCACACCCGTGTCCCTATCTGTTGTAGTTTTTGGAAAAACCCTACTATTTAGTGAGCACTTGCTTTGTACCGGGGCACTGTGCTCTTTTTCACGGACTATCTCATTTATTCCTCGGATGCTGGCTGTGTGCTTCCAAGTGGAAATCACCCTCAAGTGGACAACAGAGCGGTGTCCGTCGGGGTTGGGGGGGGGGGGGGGGGGGGGGGCCCGGCCGTCTCCCACCCCCATTTAAGCGCTGCTCCCGGGCACTGGAGCCAGGCTCCGGGGCGCCCCTTTTTCCAATCAGCTGCTGTCTAATGTCCCCAGTCCTAGAGCCTCCTTCCTGTGGCCCGTCAGGAGCACTCCAGGAGCTTCTGGCTTCTTTTCCAGGCACTGGACCAAAGAGGTCTGAGAGTCAGGTGTGAGAGCAGACTTGATCCCGAGGCAGAGGGGATGTCAGGGAGGCAGGTGCTGCCCATGACACCCGTGGGCCAGAGTTTCCAGGCTCTTCCCGGTCACCCGGGGTCCGTGGCTGTCATTTGCCCTCGCTGCCCCCACCCTAACTCACCCACGCTGACTTTCCAGTAAGTTCCTCAGGGCTTAAGCTGTGAACAAATTTTCTTCCCGGCAGAGGGTCCATCTTAAGGTGGGTCTCATCTATCAGGCCTCTCATGATTACCCCAGCCTTACACGGATAGGTCCCTTGTAGTCCCTTTTGTCGCTTTATTTAAGAAAAAAAAATTTTTTTTTTTAATGTTTTATTTAGTTTTGAGACAGAGAGAGATAGAGCATGAGCGGGGGGGGGAGGGGGGGAGGGGCAGAGAGAGAGGGAGACACGGAATCCGAAGCAGGCTCCGAGCGGTCAGCACAGAGCCCGGCACGGGGCTCAAACCCACAAACCGTGAGATTATGATCTGAGCCGAAGTGGGGCGTTTAACCAACTGAGGCACCCAGGCGCCCTCCCCCCTTTTGCTGCTATAAATGGAGCCACCCACAAAAGCAGCCTTTAGAACTTCCCATGGCTGCACGAGTTCGATTCCCTGATTCTTTTGCCTGCCCTTTCCCCTTCACTCTCACCTTCCCTTGTTCTTTTACGTCTCGATCTTAGTTCTCTGGCTTGGCTTTGCCGGTCCGCGCTGGACTTGGCTTTGCAACGTGTTTTCGGACACGCTTCTCCGGCCTCACCTTGGCCCCCTGTACCACACATCCAAGCGACGCACATTCCGGCTTCCTGGTCCCAGACCCTCGGGGCTACAGACCCCTCCGCCGTGTAGTCACTACCCTAGAGTCTAGCCTTTGGGTCCTTGTCATAGGACGTCATAAGAGAACACGTGATAGGTTTTGGTTCACCTCCTCACGTTACACATGGGGGAACTGAGGCCCAGTGAGGAGGCATCACTGTGCGGCAAGGCCACAAAGAGAAACTGTTGGAAGGGGAGAGTCAGGCCCCAGGCCTCCCGATTCCTAATCAAACACCGTTCTCGCGCTCCTCACGTGTCCTGGTCCGTCGTCACCAGGGAGTGCGTCATTTTATGCAGCGCTCTTGGGCCCACGGCCACTTCGGCTCAAATCCTGCCTTCCCCACGTACTCGCGTGGGACCCTGGGCAGCTACTCAGCCTTTCAGTCTCCCTCATCCGCAGAATAGGGAGGATCATTGCAGGTCTGCATCAGGACTTCGGGGTGGTAAGGAGGGGGCGTTCCTGGGAGAGACTGTTCTGACTTTGGTTCAGAGGGAATGATTGCAATGGTGGGTATTTGGGGCCGTGTGGCAAGGGACAACAATGTCACGGCTGGGGGAAAGGGAGAGATTTCGGGGTCGGGGAACCTTTGGGTAAGGCTTCCTGCGACTCCAAGGCGGCAGCTGCCTCCCGCTGCCTGGCTGCAGGGCTGTCCGTGGGGCTCAGGGCTAAGAAAATCTGACGCCTTAGGCTCTCAGGTATCACCTTGACCGAGAATGACCAGGGCTCTCGGATTCTCGGATGCGTTTTCATTTCAGGAGGCGTGTGCCTCTTGCGGACGGCAGCGTCCCCTGTTCTTCTCCCCTCTCCTCCCTCCACCCCTGTTAAGGCACAGGGCGCTCTGAGACCCCTGTCTCTTGCCCTTCAGAACAGGGAGGTGAAAGGCTAGTTACGGTACCTAGGAGGTGAAGCTGAGATGACCTCCCCCCGCCCCCACCCCGTGAGCTTAAAGGGCCTTGATGAAACCAAAAAGCTACAAGGTAACTTCATAGAAGGCAGATAGTGTGGCTTGTCGTGGGGGCACCTTCCTGTGGCCGGGTTTTCTTCCTCCTTTTTATCTCTCCTGGTTCCCCCTCCTCTCCTCCGTGCCTTTCGAATTCAAAGGCCAGGAAGCCTCTGTGTCGTAGCGCACAGAATCCCCGCGGCCACGCAGAACTCACGCCCGGCCCCAGCACCGCCACCCCCTTTTCGCCCTTTGCCTTTTTCCCCCTCTTTGGAGATTTTTTCACACACACACACACACACACACACACACACCCAAAACAGATGGATCATTGAATGCTAGGAGCTGTAATCACAGAAACCACAACAAATACGTCATAAAATTAAGTCACTCTGCTGGGGAAGGACTTGAGCAGCGAAATCCATCCCCGGGGGCCCTTGACTCAATTCTGGCTCTACCCTGAGTCCCCCAGGGTCCTCATGCTTCCTGCTTCCCTTGTGGGTGCCCTACTTCAGCCTGGCCACCCAAGGGGCACATGCTGTAGACCTGTCTGTCCCCTGTAATACTGTGTGACGCCTCCACCATAAGTGTGTCCGGGGACCCCGTTTTGAGCAGGACTCTTCATTGTTAACATGGCCGATGAATCTTTGCAAAAGATGTTAGGGGCTGATAGTGACCTGGCTAGTTGTCCGATTTTCGGGTCTTAGCATAGGCCAGGACCTGAGATTCTTTGGGGGCAGGAGCAGATTTGGCCAAGTTACGAAGAGGAAGAGTACGGTGGCTGAGTCCTGGGCTCTGAAATCCTCCAGAACCGGATTTGAGTCCTAGCTTTTCTAGGACTTACTGCTTGTGCGACCTTGCACGGGTGACCTCGGGTGACCTCATTTCAGCGAGACTCCGTTTCCTCCTCTGGGAAATGGGGATGAAAGTAGCAATGCCCACCTCATAGGGCTTTGTGAAGATTCAGTCAACACTGCACGTGAGACCAGTTTTCACAGCGCTTGCCCGGCACCGAGTAAGGACTCGGCAGTTTCGTTCATTGTATTCACTGTAACGCTCACTGTAAGACCGGAGCCCTCCCTTAATCGTAGGATGGGTGGACTGACAGGACAGAAGGGGGCTCCGCATCAGCTAGGCTTTGAAGCCACTAGACAGATGGCAGAAAGAACGCTGTAGGCCAGGTTCTGTGCATTGGCAGCCCCCCGGAGGATCTAAAGTGTTGGGGGTGGCGTCAGGTGGCTCTTTCTGAGCCTCTACTGGTTTGCCTTGGGTGGGGGGGAGCGATGGAGGGAAAGAAAAGGCAGAACTGGAGGCATGCTAAGTATCTTTTTTTTTTTAATTTTTTTTAACATTTATTTATTTTTGAGACAGAGAGAGACAGAGCATGAACAGGGGAGGGGCAGAGAGAGAGGGAGACACAGAATCTGAAACAGGCTCCAGGCTCCGAGCCGTCAGCCCAGAGCCCGACGCGGGGCTCAAACTCACGGACCGCGAGATCATGACCTGAGCCGAAGTCGGACACCCAACCGACTGAGCCACCCAGGCGCCCCCTTTTTGTTTATTCTTAAAAAATGGTTATTTATTTTTGAGAGAGAGTGTGAGCAGTGGAGGGGTGCAGAGAGAGAGAGAGAGAGAGAGAGAGAGAGACAGAATCCAAAGCGGGCTCTCTGCTGAGCAGCAGAGATCCCCACACGGGGCTCAGACCCACAAACCCTGACATCATGACTTGAATCAAAGTCGGACGCTCAAGCGACTGGGCCGCCCAGGCGCCCCCTTAAAATGGAAGCACTGGAAGAGGAGAAGACACCAAGAAGGAAAAAGAAGGAAGAAGACGGGGAGGAGGAAGAGACGAGGCTCTCTTCTAGTGGCGGGACGGATCGCCACAGAAATTTCCAGCAGTCTTCCCGCCAGGACACCTATTCTTTTGAGGCTGCCTCCAGTCTCCGGGACAGAGACATGCTCCTTGGCTGACGATCAGGGAGAGAAGAGGTATTCCTGAAATGGGCTTCCCTGTGGCGGGGAAGCAGAGAGCGGCGGGCTTTCATTTGTCTCTGGCCTCCTAGAGCGGGAGAAAGTCCCTGGTGACAATTTCTCTAGAGCAGGTGTCCGAGGTGGGAGTCCCCTAGGGCGTGATTAGGCGTCTCCTTCATGGTTCCGGTGGTCAAATGCCCATAGGCGTGAGTGTGGAGCGTAGAGAGGTGACCCTGTATCCCTCGTACGTCTTCCTGCTGACACCCGTGGGCTTGCGGAAGTCCCTGAAGGTGTCCTATGACATCACGTGCCACCAAAGGCCACGCGGCAGTTTCCGCGTTGGGCACATATCCACCCAAGGACTCTCCGAGCCAGGATAAATGACCATCAAGATTGTTTCCCTCGGGGCGCCTGGGTGGCCCAGTCGGTCAAGCATTCGAATCTTGGTTTCCGCTCAGGTGGTGATCTCACAGTACATGAGTTCAAGCCCCGCATCGGGCTCCGTGCTGACAGCGCAGAGCCTGCTTGGGATTCTCTGTCTCCCTTTTTCTCTCTGCCCCTCCCCTGCTCACGCTGTCCCTCTCTCAAAATAAATAAATAAACGTTAAAAAATATATATTGTTTTCCTCTACCCAGGGTACCGTGAGGGCGTTCACATCTGCTCCTAGGAGCATGAGGAAGCTAAGCGGGCTGGGGGACGAGAGCAGAGGATCCCCTCAAGGACTGCTTACTGAGTTCTGTGTTTCATCTTAAGTCCTTACCCCGCGTCTGCCTTCTTCCCCAACCAGAGCTTGAGGCCTGTGGGACTTGTATTTGTTTTCTCTTGCCGTGTAACAAATGACAAGCATGTTCGTGTCTTACGCAATGCAAATATATTACCTCTCAGTCTGCGAGAGTCGAGAGCCCAGGCACGGTGTAGCTGCGTCCTCTGCTCAGGGGGTCGTCAGGCTGCAATCGGTGTATCAGCCATGGCTGGGGGCGCCTCTGAGGTTCAAGGGTTTCTTCCAGACTGACTGGTTGTTGGGAGAATTCGGGTTTTGGAGCCCGTAGGGCTGAGGTCCCCACTTTCTGACTGGCTGTCAGCCAAGGGTTGGCCTCAGTTACTGGAGGCCACCTGCCATTCCCTGCCACGGGGTCCTCAGCATGACATAGGTGTTTGTTCCTTCCAGGCCAAAAGGAGAGTGTCTGCCATGGCTTCGAATCTCTCTGACTTCTCTGTCTGACCTTTGGACACGCTTTTCAGAAGAGCTTACCTGATTAGGCTAGGCCCACCCACACTCAAGGGGAGGCGATTTATGGGGATGCACACTAGGGGGGGAGCAGCAATCTTCGGGGCCGTATTAGAATTCTGCCCACCACGGGCTCTATGTAAAAAAAAAAAAAAAAAAAAAGCATTTCAGCCCTTCCAGATTATTTAAAAAAAAAAAAAAAGAGGCCAGCTGCTTTCTTTTTTTTTATCTTTTTTTTTATCTTTTTTTTTTTTTCAACGTTTTTTATTTATTTTTGGGACAGAGAGAGACAGAGCATGAACGGGGGAGGGGCAGAGAGAGAGGGAGACACAACATCGGAAACAGGCTCCAGGCTCCGAGCCATCAGCCCAGAGCCCGACACGGGGCTCGAACTCCCAGGCACCCCAAGGCCAGCTGCTTTCTATTAGCATTCCCCACTCTGGGAAGGGGGACAAAGCTATCAGGCAAAATCTTCTGAATCTTTGAACCTGAACCGGGCTGTGGTTAAAAAATGTCAACAACCTTGGAAGACAGGCCTTATTCCCTTTTTGTCTTTCCTTTTTTTTTTTTTTTTTTTTTTTTTACCCCCTAGAGCCCTTGTTCAGCCCTCAAATCAGACAGTCTGAGAAGCGAAAGTCAGCTCCGAGGCCTCAGCATCTAGGGTCGGCCGAGAGAGAGCGAGCAAGCATTTAAATGATGACCCATAATGAAACTCCATGTCTCTGCGGGGCCAGGCTTCCCAGTGACCATTATTTTTTTTTCAATATATGAAGTTTATTGTCAAATTGGTTTCCATACAACACCCAGTGCTCATCCCAAAAGGTGCCCTCCTCGATACCCATCCCCCACCCCCCATCAGCCCTCAGTTTGTTCTCAGTTTTTAAGAGTCTCTTATGCTTTGGCTCTCTTCCACTCTAACCTCTTTTTTTTTTTTTTTTTTCCTTCCCAGTGACCATTATTACATGGCTTTATGTTCCTTGGAAGTGGCTCTGGATAAAAACTTACATTATCTCCTCTTTCCTTACTCAGCTGGCCAGCTTTGACATGGGTTTCGCGCACAGGGGACTTTTACCGAAAGTGTGAATCGTCTTGTCCCCGTCTGTTTGAAAAGGGCGCCACTTTGGCACCGATTTCCCATTCGTCACCGCAGCCACCCCCCACTCCCTGCCCCCGGGTCCATCCAGAAGAACATGCAGCGGGCACCTTCGATGCGCCTGGTGTCGCGCTAGGTGTCGGGGATCTCCAGATGAACAAAACGCGGTCCCGGTCTTCAAGGTGATGTCAACTATGACAGAGGCGTGTGCAAAGGACCGAGAGCATGGGGCATGCGTGGGTGGCGACCTTTGAGGAACGCGTAGGATTTCAAGGCGCTGGGGATTAGGGCATTGGTATTCTAGGCCAAGCAGCCTGTGGAGAGCCCAGAGTGTGGGAGGACGTGGCGTGTTTGGGGAATGGCTGGCGATTCTGGACGTGAGGGTGTGAGCGGGGGTGGACTTCTGGGACAATGGAAGGGGGCAGGGGACACCAGATGACGGAGGGCCTTGAGCATCAAGAACTTGGCTTTCATGCGGAGGGAGGCAGGAAGTTGATGAACTCGTGGAAGCAGGGGAGGCTTGTGGTCAGAGTGTTATCTGAGAGCAAACATTGTGACTTTTTTTGAGATATCAGTGAGGTGACAGTTTTTGCTAAAAGTCATAAATAAATAAAAGTATAGACCAGAGGCCACTCTCATATATATATATATATATATATATATATATATATATTTTATTTTGGGGGGGAGGGGCAGAGAGAGAGGGAGACAGAATCGGAAGCAGGCTCCGGGCTCTGAGCTGTCAGCACAGAGCCCGACGCGGGGCTCGAACTCACGAACAGAGAGATCATGGCCTGAGCTGAAGTCGGACGCTTAACCGACGGAGCCACCCAGGCGCCCCCAAAAGGTCACTCTTGACGAGCCCTGGTCTAACGAAGGAACACATTCGCTTCAGATTTATATTAGCCTTAATGGGACACGTGAAAGAAACACAAGGATGCTTCTCGGAGGAGATGTTCGGAAGGCCAAGCGCTGGTTAAGAAAGTCAGCCTGCGGGCAAAGGGAAAGAGGGTTGCTGGTGGTGGAGGCTATAAATAGAAGGAGGCAGCATATCTGCTCCTGAAGCTTCCTCCGTGAGGATCCGGGCCCAGCCCAGCTGAGTGGGGCTCCACACCCAGGGTTCTGGAGCTGGGAGACGAGGAGCTTCCTCCCCCAGGACTAATGTTCCTCTGCCTCCTACAGATGCCTCTACTTGTAAGAAACTTCTGGCCGCAGGGGTGCCTGGGTGGCTCTGTCAGTTAAGCGCCCCACTTCGGCTCTGGTCATGATCTCACGGTTTGTGAGTTCCAGCCCCGCATAGGCTCTCTTAGGGAATTTAAGTTCCAGTAGAGAAGACAGACAAGAAACAAGTAATACAGAATATAATTTCAGGTGGCCCTGAGTGCTATAAAGATGTTAATAAAGGGTCATGTGACGGAGAGAGACAGGAGGCTCTAACTAACAGGGTCACGGAGGTCTTCTCTGGGAAGTGATGGTTGAGCTAGCCTTAATGCTACAAAGGAGTCAACCATGCAACTAGCCGGGGACAGAGCCCTCCAGGCAAAGGGCGCAGCAGGTGCAAAGATCCTGAGACTGAAAGTGTGTTGTTGATTGTGTGTTGGAGTGTGTTGGAGATTAGTGAGCAGGCCAGTGAGGCCGCAGCAGAAGGACAGAGGAGGAGGGTAGCAGAATTGACAGTCAGGGGGCGTGGGGCTGGGGCCACATCTCATAGGGCCCAGGATAAGGAGCTGGGATTTTGCTCTGAGCGCGATGGCAAGCCACTGGGGTGGGGGGAGGTTGAGCAGGGGACTGACGTGACCGATGTGGCCACTGTGTGGACAATAAGAAGGCAAAAAGGGAAGGAGGGGGACCAGTGGGGTCATTGCAGTAATGCAGCAACAAGCTAATGGCGGTTCAGCCGAGGCAAGAAATGGTTGGATTACAGAAATATGCAGAAGGAAGGACTCACAGGATTCCCTGTCGGGTTAGCTGTGGCATACGGCGGAAAGAGAGGAATCAGGAGCTCCTAGATTTCAGTCTGAGCATTCGGTTAGTGGCATTTTCTGAGCTTGGGAAAACTGGGGTGGGAGAGGAGTGAGTACGAGTGAAAGCAAGAGTTCCATGCGCTGTTGGTTGGAGATGTTGGCCGGGCAGTTGGTTATAAGAATATGGAGTTCAGGGAAGACATCCAGTCGAGAGGGAGAAACTTTGGAGTCCAGTGTGTATAGAGGGTATTTCAACTCTGAACGAGATCATTTAGGGGATGGTAGCCAGTAGTCACAGGGGACCCGTGAGCACTTGAAATTGGCCAGCTCGAATTGAGATGTGCTGTGCACGTCAAATGCAAACCACATTTCAGACTTCACATGAAAAAAAAAGAATGTAAAATATCCCATTGACATTAGTTTTAGAATGATTACACGCGGAGCTGCTAATATTTGGTCTCTGTTGAGTTAAATAAAATATTTTAATGTGTTGGTTCTATTGAGCTAAAACTTCAGCGTGGCTCCTGGAAATTTAAAAATTACAAACGTAGTGGGGGCACCTGGGTGGCTCAGTCAGTTGAGCATCCGACTTCGGCTCAGGTCATGATTTCACGGTTCATGCGTTTGAGCCCCACATCGGGCTGTCTGCTGTCAGCACAGAGCCCGCTTCGAACCCTCTGTCCCCCTCTCTCTGCCCCTCCCCGCTCGAGCTCTCCCCAAAATAAATATTTTTAAAAATTCCATACATGGCTTGCAACTGTGGCACATGTTAATGTTTCTATTTAATGGCACTGGTCTAGGAAATTATTGTAGAATAAAGAGGGCCAAGGACAGAGCTTTTAGGTGCAACAATGTTTCATATCTGGGGAGAGGAGAAAGATTCAGCAAAGGAGATTGAGGACAGCCAATGAGGTAGGAGGAAAATTCAGGGAGTGTGATGTTCAGAAAGGCAAAGCGATAACATTATACAAAAAGGGGGAGTGTCCAGTGGTGCAGGGAAGTCAAGTAACTGATGGTTGCATTTAGCCAGAGCAGTTTTTGGTAGAGTGGTTTAGAAGTAGGTTGCGTTGGAAGCCTGAATAGAGAGAACCCAGGAGAACAAGAAGTGAAGACATAAGCCTAGTAAGTATAGATGAGGTAACTCTTTAGCGTTTTGCTTTAAAGAGATGCAGAGAAATGGGTGGTGATGGGAAGAGAATTTCTCTAAAAAAATTTGTGCTCCTGGCCCAAGGAATTCTCCTGTCTTCCCCTGGAATTTCTGAGGGGCTTCTGAATTTCTTCACTTCGTTGCTTCTCCCATATTTCCAGGTGGAACTGTGTGTGTGTGTGTGTGTGTGTGTGTGTGTGTGAATGGATACACATCCAAGTACAAAATGAGTGTGTAAAATGAGTGGATAGCAGACGATGATCTTTTGCTTTTTCACTCAATATTTTACTGTAGTGATCCTACTATGGCTGAATCCCTGAGGGAAGCTTCTGGAAGCCTGGAAGTTCTAGAGGCCGGTGATGAGGGTAAGTAGCCCAGTAAAATGTTGGTAACTAGACCTAGCTTTCTTTACTGTGTTGAATCCCTAGGGGGAAAAAAATGAAGTCACAGGCAAACGAGTTCATATCAAATTTCTAATAATATTAGACTCAGTCCACATTTACTTTGCAGTCTTTTCACCTCTTCTCTTTCGTGTCCAACTCTGGTATCAGAAGGCTTGTCTGAGGCCCTGCAGTCCTCTGTGGGGATGGTTACCGGGTTCTACTTGCTAAGGCAGGAGAAGTATTTCTGCTTAATCAGAAAAAAAAAATCGGAGCCTACCATGATCCAAGAGATTTGACTGAAGTTGTACTATAGATAGTAGTCCAGATTTAACCAACAGATGAGTTTGTAATTTGAGGAGTGAAGGGGGGAGTACCGATAAAAGATGCCACCACAAGCTTCTGTTAAATACGACTCAATTTATAAAACTGCTTTTTGTAAAACTCACTCGGATGTGAATCCATTCCATAAACTGTGGGGCCACCTACGAGTGATGCGTGGCCATGGGTAGAGTATCGTGTAAAGGAGGCAAAGGTCACTAAATGATGAACTTCACTGACACCCCACCCCCCAAAAAAAGGAACCATCAGACATAAAATAAGACATTGAATCTAAAGACAGAACTAAATGGAACAGTTCACTGGGTGGTTTTTCAAGTTTTGTGGAGTGTTCTTTAGCAGTTGTATGATGTGGAAGACTTGGTCTGGAAGAATAGACTGGAACTCTGTTGTGGCTTTCCAGGGGCATGATTTCAGTGATGATGGGGGGCGGGGGATGCTGAACTTGGTGCATGGATCCTTGGGAACAGAGCTTGGGTCTTCGTTTTTGTGTCACTAATGTTTAGTAGCGGGTCTCAGAGAGAGTAATTAGACACCCCAAATATTCGATCGATGAATGAATAAATAAATGAACGATAGGCCTCTCCACCAAGGCAGCTCCAACAACCAAACCAACTGACCTCTTTGGATATGAGTTAGATGCCTACAAAAGAAGGTGGCAACGCGGTTCATCTTCATGAAGAGAGGAGGTAAGGAAATGCCTTTTCTCTGTTCCCAAGATTTTGTTTTCAAACGACCAAACATTTGGGTATGTTTTTAGAACTGGTCATTGCTAACCAGAGAATGACATGGCTGTGTGGGGGTTGACGGAAAGAAAGGCTAGTTAGAAATGTTTTCTTTCTAACCAGTGATGCAAGAGAGCAAAGTCAACCATTATGCGATGCATTTTTACAGCCCATTAAGTTCAACCCAGATGGGCTGCCTGTGTGCGTGGTGGATAAAGAAATCTACAAGCCGGAAGCAATGATTTCTTCCTTGGAGTTAATGGTGTTTTCCTCTCTGGGGGGCAAAACTGCTTTCCATGGGCTGTTTTCTGGACGTGACAGGCCCTCATTGGATGAGGATGTTGAAAGCCGCTGACTGGGAATACATAGTCCTTGGACTTGGACAGGGAAATCGATGACTTTGTTACAGGAGAAGTGCAGACAGCTGTCAGCCGGCAGCTCACTGACCACCACTGCTGTACCCTGTGGGGGCACGAGTTGCCCAGTGTAGGGGTGACCTACGTAAACATTGCTGGATACAAATGTGGGTTTTGACCTCTACCTGCTGCCTAGGTCCACCTACCCTTTGCAGTTAAGCAGCTTTTGAAAACGAGCCTGTGCAGGGCTCAAAAGGCCAGCTCGTGCCCTTGGACATATGGCCACTGTGTCAGATTTCATTAGGGTTGCAAAAAAAAACCAAAAAACAAAGTAGCATGTGGACAATTCCCAGGTTTGTATCAATTTCCCAGGGCTCATCTCCATACATGGGATCTGATGTGGTTGAGGGTGGGGAGCTTTCCTAAGCCAAAACAGCTTCCACCATCCCTTGCGAGACCAAGTCTTGGCTTCCAAGTCCACTGCCCTGGGTCAGTGAGCCACCAACCTGCCACGGTGAGGTGGTTGGCATGTCTTGGTGCCCTGCCCCCCTCCCCCCAGCTCCACCAACAAAGCTCTACCCACCCCCCCCCTACTCAGAGCTACCCCACAGGGACGAATGGAAACATAAGTTTCTTTCTAGTGCCCATGGTTGAAAACAGACATGCATTACTTAAGGTATTCTGGACCCTCGTGGGAAAACAAGTTGTTGTTGTTGCCTGGCAGGAATGGAAAATTGGGGGGAGATTGAAATACATGCAGAATTAAATTCTTAGCACCCGGTTACGGTTCTGAAGTCACTAGACACGTGGCTAATTTAGGGGCATAAAAATGTGTGAGCGCATTGTTTTGTCCGCCCATACAACGACTGTGCTTGGTGCGTTCAGTTGTATAGCCTGAAGAGTTTATAGAAGTGTTTTGATTCAATTATTAAGCGTTTCTAGATTGTGTCCCAAGTGGAGCCACCGGCCGCCGATGATCTCCTGCCTTCTATTCTGGGATTTTGAAGCGAGAGGGGCAAAACTCGCCGTGTTTCTAAATACTCGTTCCCACTTGTGAGGGGACGCTGGCCAGTCCGTCCTTACTGGGCAGCAATTATTTAGCCAACTGGGGCTGGCTCACTCTGGTTCGGGAGATGGTGCACATCTGTTCCCAAATGGCATGTGGTAGCTTGCCCTTGACCGCGGTGCGCGTATTTATACCAGAGCAACGGGCAGATGCCACAGACAAGGGCATTCCCCGCCCCTCCCCCCCACCCCAAGGTCCAGTTGGTAAACCTTTTCCGGCAAAGAACTGGTTATAACAATTGGTATAATGCAGTAATGAGGATGTTTCATAAAAATCTCACCATTGAATCAATTTTAGAAATCATTCGGGGACGGGGAGATCAAGAGAGGAGGCCAGAGGACAAAATATCGGTCATTTTTGAGCCAGCCTCCACTGTACAGCATGTTCCTCAGCACCTTCGCACTGAATGTTCAATGAGGCCACGCGTCATTGAAAATAACTTATTATTTAATGATTATTAAGTAATGTATCGTAGAAATTAGTTTCATTATTTCCGGAAACAATTACAGACGCAAGCTTGGAAAAATTACGTTTCCTGCTGTATCTTCATGGTTTATCCTTTCCGTCTGTAGGTAGATTTGCCAAGGTGGTCCCAACCGTGACCCTATTTAGGCACATCCTGTTAGGTGAGAAATTGCCTGAGCCATCACAAACGGAAATTACTGAAGCATTGATGAGCAAGCAAAACAGTCCTATAGCCTTCTTGCCCCACCCCATGCTGGCTTCTGCTTCTAATCATGCATATCGTACGGTTCACTATTGAGTGATCGATACGATATTAACCGTAGATAGATAGAATTGATAGATCAGTTCTACAGATAGAATTGAATCTGGCCTTAATAAACAGGTAATTATTGGGGCGCCTGGTTGGCTCAGGCGGTAGAGCATACAACTCTTGATCTCAGGGTCATGAGTTCGAGCCCCACACTGAGCTTAGAGCTTACGTTAAAAAAAAAAGTTTTTAGAAAAGAAACGAGTAATTGTTGATTCCCTAGCGCTAGGCCACATTCATTAGCACTTGCAACATGCCAGATCCTGTGTTAAGCTCTTTACGTACATTATTTACAATTTATATCAACCCCGGCAAGGGCCAGGGTTTAAATTATAGGATGCTTAAGGATGACTCTGCTCAGTGATCTCAATTTAAGGGAAGTGACAAGCTGTGTTGGTATTCTGCACCCCTCAAAGGACTCAGTTGTCCCTTGGGTGCTGCTGTGTGCCTTGTGCTGTGGTGGATGCTAAAGAAGATGCCGACGAGGGCCAGCCTACAGCCTTGAAGTCGGGGACAGTGGCTAAGACACAGAACTATATCTCATTCCTTTCTCACTGATACCCAAAGCATAGTGAGTGCTTGGTCTTAAATATTTGTTGGATGGATGGATGGATGGATGGATGAGTAGATGAGAGAGCATTCAGATGTAAAACTTGGAGGGCCAACAGTCAAGCTTTAGGTGTGCAGAGAGAAGGGTTCATTGTCGTGATTGGTGGCACACTGGACTTAAGGCAGGCCTTGAAGTTTAGAAACCTTTCTAATAGGCGGGTTTGGGAGTAATCGGTATGCAAATAGGCCATAGAGTTTCAGAGCTAGAAGGAACCCTAGTTCAGCCAGTGTGTTTTGCCACACATTCTGCTTCTTTGCACTTGGGAGACAACGCTGTTGCCCAGTATCTTAGAGCTTCACCGTACACGTGGGCATCTTGAAGTTCCAGAAAAGTCTTGTTGGAAAGCAGGGCTCTTAACTTCGTCTAATCCAGCGTTTTCCAGAACGACCGGACCACAGATCCTTTTCTCGTGCAATAGACATAATGTACGACAGCTCTCTGAACACACTTTGGGAGATGCTGATTAGTGTGATCCCTTCTTTTCCCTGTAGAGTTCCAGAGAGGTTGAGTCACTTATCCGAAGTCACAGAGCTAACCGATAGCAGGGCCAAACCGAGGATTCCAGAGTGTTCTGGCTCTTGGGTGGTACTTTCCATTACATCACTAAGCCTTTCTAATGGCAGCCCCATCGACCACCCCCCACCCCCCACCCCCTTGCCCAGACCCTTCCCTGCCAGCCCAGCATTGCCGTGCTGGCAATAGGCCTTCCAGACACCAGCTTGTTAGGAATTGGGATGAGACAGCTACGCTGGTGAACGATTGCACGCGGAAGCAGTAAGGGCTGATTTCTCCCTTAGGCTGCAGCTCGGACTCCCCTGTCCTTGCCCGTCTCCTGCTGAGCCCCGATAAAGGCACATGTGCTTATTAGGAGACTAACAAAAGCCCAAACAGCCTTAGGAGCATCGACAGCTCCCATTCCGCGCTGCTGCCCTGGTAGTTATGGTAGATCGAGCAAACTTCCAGTTATTTGCGTGTGCAGACGGCGGGAGCCCTGTCGATAATCCAAACCCACTGGCGGTAATTGACGAACGCACACAGTGCACGTAACACACGCACGCCCACACGCTTGTACGCACGCACGCACACACGCACCCCTTGCAAAACCCTTTGGTGTCTGACTCTGTCATGCCTCTGGCACAGGCAGCTTCTCTCCCTGGTGGCCCTTTCTTCCCAATCCCCAGCCGTCTCCCTACCTCATAACCCGCCTCCTTGAGGACGGCCTCCAGGGCTGTGCCGCTCCCGACAGCGCTCACCCCGTGGGGCTGCACCCTTTCACACACAAGCTAGGGCAGAAGCAGCCCCCGCCAGGGACTCCGGGGGTCCTCAACTGGATTGCCATGATTCCGGCCACCAGGGCGAAGTCAGGGGGATGCCCGGTGCTTCTTATTATTATCATTATTGGCTTAATAACTGCTGCATATGAATGAACGTCTTAGGTCAGCGAAGAGGTGTGGGCTGGTGGGGGAGATAGAGAGGCGGGCTGATGCCCGGTGAGTTGTGCCAGCTTAGAGGCCGGCCCAAAGGCCGCAAGCTGGGGCCTGAGCTTCCGGGCTCCCCAGAGACTCAGCCGCTTCGTTAATCCTGAGCTGGGAACAAGAGAACAGGCCAAATGAATGGTGCCGGGGGGTGGACGAAGGCCGAGATCTGCGGGGCACCGGGCACCCCAGTCCTCGTTCCTGTCACAAAGGCCCTGTTTCCTCCCCTGTCCCTCCCTTCCACCGTCACACCCTGCCTTGCTTGCCTTCCTACCCTCCAGGAAAGAAGAAATCCAAGTTTAAAGTCTTCAAGAGCTTCTTTGGCAAGAAGAAGAAAAAAGAGCCCGAGGATGGCCGGGGAGGGAGGAAGCTACAACCAAGCCTGTCCAGCAGCAACATCAACATCTCTGCTCTGAAGCCAGTTCATGAAGATCAGACTGAGCCTCGGTAAGCTCAGGGGGGCTGTGGCCACCGCCAAGGCAGCCAAGGCCCCGGGGGCAGGGGGGGCGGCGGCGGTTTTCTCCACGCTCAGGTGTATGCCTGAGCCGCTGGGTGGCTCAGTTGGTTAAGCGCCTGGCTCTTGAATGCGGCTTCGGTCGTGTTCTCACAGTTCGTGGGTTCGAGCCCCCACCTCAGGCTCTGCACCGGCAGCACAGAGCCTGCTTGAGATTCTCTCTCTCTCTCCCTCCCTCTCTGGCCCCCCACCCCCACTCGTGTGCTCTGTCTCTTTCAAAATAAATAAGCTTAAAAAAAAATCCGTGGGGGAGATGGTTATGGGCGGACGGACGTGTTTCAGAGCTCACAAATCATACCACTATTGAGCGATCGACAGGATATTGACTGTAGATAGATAGAACTGATAGATCAGTTCTACCGCTAAATAAATAAATAAACAGACAAACTTTAACAATAACAACAACCACAAAAAAGAAGTGGCAAGAGCAGACATCCTTGTCTTCTTCCTGATCTGAGGGAGAAAGTATTCAGCCTTTCATCATCATATCTACTTGGTAATAGTGTATCATTCTTTATGTTGTTGGATTCAGTTTTTTTTAATGTTTATTTATTTTTGAGAGAGAGAGAGAGAGAGAGACAGAGTGCAAGCAGGGGAGGGGCAGAGAGAGAGGGGAACACAGAATCCGAAGCAGGCTCCAGGCTCTGAGCTCCGAGCTGCCAGCACAGAGCCCGATGTGGGGCTCGAACTCACGAACTGTGAGATCATGACCTGGGCTGAAGTCGAATGCTTACCTGACCGAGCCACCCAGGTGCCCCCAGCTGTTGGATTCGGATTACTAGTATTTTATTGAAGAGTTTTACATCTGTATATTCATAAGCGATACTAGTCTGTAGTTTTCTTGTGATGTCTTTGGTTGAAATTTTAATAAATTCCCACATTCCAAAAGGAGCCTTTTATGCCTTCATCCTTCCATTGCTAACTTCTATGATTTGTCTTAGTGCTTAATTGTCATCAACCTGGCTTAATTCCCAGTCAGAAGGTATTTCCTTCTGGGTTTAGCCATCTGGGGGTGGCAGTGGGGTGGGACGTGTGCGTAAGATGACTTAGAGGATAGGACGCATGTATCACAGAACCCTCGTGTGAACGAGGAAAAGATCTGGTGAATGAGAGTCTCCAGCATCTGGGCAGATATTTGATATTTTAAATCAAAACAAAAACACTAGAGAGAAATTTGGGTGTGAAAGATCTTTTATAACTGTCACCTTAATAACATCAAGACTCAGGGGCGCCTGGGTGGCTCAGTCGGTTGAGTATCTGACTCTTGATTTTGGCCCAGGTCACGATCTCATGGCTCAAGGATCGAGCCCCGCGTCGTTGGGCTCCACACTCAGCGTGGGGCCTGCTTGGGATTCTCTCCCCCCCCCCCAGATAAATAAATAAACATTTTTTAAAAGATAACAGCAAGACTCAGGGTCTTTTCCCCCATGCCACAGGGCTGCCACTGTTGAATTGTACACATTAAATGCGTAAATTGTATGGTACATAAACCACATCTCAAAACTATTATATAAAAAAGATGTGTGTCGGTAATTTAAAAACTCACAATTATAGAGAAGTACATAAAGTAGGAAATTAAAATCCCCCTCCTGTCCTCAGTGCCATTTCTCAGAGGGAACTACCACTAATTATTTGGTGGATATCCTCACAGACTTTTTTCTGTGATCATGAACTATGTATGTACGTAATATAGGCAAATGTATTAAATGGGACCATACTATCCTTTATTTTTTCACTTACTGTCTCGTGGAACACTTTCTTTAAAAAAAAATTTTTTTAACGTTTATTTATTTTTGAGAGAGAGAGAGAGAGACAGAGTGTGAACTGGGGAGGGGCAGAGACAGAGGGAGACACAGAATCTGAAGCAGGCTCCGGGTTCCGAGCCGTCAGCACAGAGCCCGACGCAGGGCTCGAACTCACGGACCGCGAGATTGTGACCTGAGCCGAAGCCGGACGCTTAACCGACTGAGCCACCCAGGCGCCCCTCGTGGAACACTTTCTATGGCAGCACATGTGCCCTCTTTCTGACGTGTCTACGGTATACGTATCATTCTATGCATATACACGTATCTTCACTTCCTGTGGCCCTTGGGCTGCTTTTACAAGACCCTTTTCTTCCCGTTCAGGGCCAAGAGCAACATGGGGAGCAAAGCCCTGTCCCATGACAGCATCTTCATGATGGATCCTGAGCCTGCAAATAAAATCTACCCCTCTCCAGAGCTCCAGAGAGGCAGATCTCTGCAGGTAATAGTGAACTCAAGCCTCAGTGCCTAATTCGGCTGCTGCTCTTCCGTTCCCTAGTCCTGCCCTGCCAAAAAACAAGCATGGGGGGACTTTGGGCTTGCTTCTCGAGCTGATTCTACCCCGCAGGGCTATTGTAAAGAATGGAGAATGTGTAAATGCATGATGTGCTTCCCTAGCGCCCAGCACGCAGTGTGGCCTGGCATTGCCACGTTCACTTCTCCGGACACACCCCAAGAATGCTCCGAGTATATTAGGGTCGCGTCCCACTGTCAATGTGCAGGCATTCCGACCGCTGTGTTTTTTTCTTTCTTCTACAGAGACCTTATGTTTCCAGAACTCTGCCTAGAACCGGGACTAGTAGTCTGCATCGAGCTGTTTTTGGAGTTACGTTTGGACCTATGCTCCCATATGTACCCAGAAGTGCACTTTGGGCCGGGGGATCTGACATCGCTGAGGTAATGGAGTGGGATTGTTCTGACTACGGTTGGCTGAGTCAGACAGACTGCTGCTTACCGGCTCCATGATCTTGGGCTGATCGCCTGACCAGAACGAATCATGCTCACAAAGCAAGGTTTTACTCTATCCGTGACCAAGGGCTACACGGTTAGCTCTCCAGTTCAGAAAGGGGAGCCCTGTTTCCCGGAGGCCTCTTCTCTTAGTCCCAGCAACAGAGAGACTCTTATGGCGGGGGGGGGGGGGGGGGGGAGCGGATTAAAGGTTAGGCTTCTAGAGGCATTTCCTCTCACAATGAAGCCGGGAGGGAAAGCTACAATAGCTCAAAGGGCCTAGTCCCTTAGTCCTTCTTCTGGGAAACATGGCTGAAGACAGGGTAGCGTATTAACAGAACCCGAACCATCAACCGCCAGTTTGACCTCCGCACGGGAGACTTCCCTTAGGCGCCAAGGTGACAACCCTACATGACAGGGTAGCTGACAGCATTCGGTTGAGGGTCCTGACACCCAGTGCTGCACAGAAGCAACGCAACTACGGAATTGGCCAATGGCTGGGTCCCTTGAAGGGACAGGATTCGTCATGGATTAAGTGGCATTCAGATCACCTGGGAGATTGTGGGAGATGAACTCCCGGTATACAGTTCTGTCAGAAATACCAAGACTGGGGCGCCGGGGTGGCTCGGTCGGTTAAGCGACCGACCTCGGCTCAGGTCATGATCCCACGGTGTGTGAGTTCGAGCCCCGCGTCGGGCTCTGGGCTGACAGCTGAGAGCCTGGAGCCTGTTTCGGATTCTGTGTCTCCCTCTCTCTGACCCTCCCCCGTTCATGCTCTGTCTCTGTCTCAAAGTTAAATAAACGTTAAAAAAATTAAAAAAAAAATTAAACTCCCTGCCCTTGAGTATGGGACATCCCTTTCCTGCCCCTAATAGTTAGGAGATAGGAGTCCACAGGGGTTAAGAACATGGGCTATAAAGGCAAGCAGGCCTTTCAAATGCCTGCTGTGCCACTACGAGAATTAGGGCCAGTCATATCATCTCTCAGACCTGCTTTTCCCCATCTGTAAAATGGGGACCACAAGAGCAGATGCCTCAAGGAATTGTTGCAAGGTTCGAATGAAATCCACCTCTGGAGAGCACTTCCTCCCTGTCCGGGAGAAAGAGCTCAAATCAGTAACCTAACTCGCCACCCGAAGGAACTGGGAAGAGAAGAACAGACTAAACCCAAAGCTAGCAAAAGGAAGGAAATAACCGAGACGAAAGCATCATAGAGGCCTCCGTAAAAGTTAGTTGTCATTATTGTAGTTATTATTATTAGAATTGGGCTCGGGGATGGTGAATCTCTTGAGATTTCATCTCAGGAGCGCCCAGTAGGGCCTGGTAGGAATGAGGGGTCACCTTAGACACTGGCCAGGAGTACCCCAGGGGCAGAACGTTGGAACAATCCTCATCGGGGCCCCCTTTCTTTGGCTTTGAGAGTTTGAAGTCCATCTGTCCTGAACAGCAGCAGAGCCTATGACAGAAAGAAGCACGTCCGCTCCATGACAGCAAAACTTTTGTTTTGTTCATTGTTACAGGCCCAGTGCTCAGATCGGGGCACGGCACGCTGTGGACGCTTAGCCAGTATTAAAGATAAAACCGGGGATTCTGATTCACGTCAAAATGACCATGGCAGGGACCAGTGCCTCAGATTCAAGTGTACCATGAGCTTCAAGTTAGAATCAACCCAATGAATCTGCTGAAGCCCAAGGAAAACTCAAATGACCAATTTTATTCCCTTGGGAAAACTAGTAAAGCTGTTCTGCTCGGGGCTAGTTCTGCAGATTTTCTAACAACTCTAGAAAAATCAGTCTTGACAGGATTCAGATAAACAATCGACACAGCCAAGATCTGATCCAGACAATTCCCGGAATGATAGGAGCAAGGCTCGTAGTTTGGATGCCAAGCCTAGGTCCTAACCCCCAAACTCACCTCCGCAAGAACTGGACTTCCAAAGATAGGGCCAAAATCAAAACAAAGATGGGACTCAAAGAAGATTTATAGTTAGCATCAGTAGAGAGAGAACACCATAATTCTGGGTGGGTTTGTGGTTTTTTTTTTTTTTTTTAGTAAAACAGGATGCAATATTTTATAATGATTAAAGTTAAGAACCAGCCAAGATTCTTTGAATGGGGAATTTTACAAGCTAGATGACCTGAAATCTGTCAAAATGTTACAGTGCCTGCAGGATTGGATTGTTTCTTCCCTTTACATTTTAGTCGTTTCCAGACCTTCATTAATAATCATGCATTGTTGGGGCACCTGGGTGGCTCAGTGAGTTAAGTGGCTGACCCTTTTTTGGGGGGGGCGGGGGAGTAGAATTTAGTGATTCATCACTTACATAGGACACCCAGGGCTCATCCCAACAAGTGTCCTCCTTGATGCCCATCACCCATTGAGCCCATCCCCCCACCCACCTACCCTCCAGTAACCCCCAGTTTGTTCTCTATATTTAAGAGTGTCTTATGGTTTGCCTCTCTCTCTCTTTTGATCTTATTTGTCCTTTCTTTCCCCTGTGTTCATCCGTTCTGGTTCATAAATTTCACATGAGGGAAATCATACCGTATTTGTCTTTCTCTGACTGACTTATTTTGCTTAGCATCATACACTCTGGTTCCATCCACGTTGTTGCAGATGGCAAGATTTCATTCTTTTTGATCGAGTGATATTCCGTTGTGTATATATATACCACATATTCGTTATCTGTTTGTCAGTAGATAGATATTTGGGCTCTTTCCATAATTTGGCTATTGTTGATAGCGCTGCTATAAACATTGGGGTGCATGTACCCCTTTGAATCAGCATTTTTTGATAAATCCCTAATAGTGGAATTGCTGGGTTGTAGGGTAGTTCTAGTTTTAATTTTTTGAGGAACCTCCATAACTGTTTTCCAGAGTGGCCGCACCGGTTTGCATCCCCACCAGCAGTGCAACAGCATCCCCCTTTGTCTACATCCTCGCCAACATCTATTGTTTCTTGAGTTTTTAGTGTTAGCCATTATGACACGTGACAGGTGGTACCTCACTGTGGTCTTGATTTGTATTTCCCTGATGATGAGTGATGTGGAGCATCCTTTCATGTGTCTCTTTGCCATCTGGATGTCTTCTTTGGACAAGTGTCTGTTCATGTCTTTTGCCCATTTCTTCACTGGATTATTTGCTTTTTGGATGTTGAGTTTGATAAGTTCTTTATAGATTTTGGGTACTAGCCAAACCCTTTATCAGATACATCATTTGCAAATATCTTCTCCCATTCTGGAGGTTGCCTTTTAGTTTTGTGGATTGTTTCCTTCGCTGTGCAGAAGCTCTTTATCTTGATGAGGTCCCAATAGTTCATTTTTGCTTTTGTTTCCCTCGCCTCCACAGACATGTCTAGTAAGAAGTTGCTGTGGCTGAGGTGAAAGAAGTTGTTGCCTGTTTTCTCCTGTAGGATTTTGATGGCTTCCTGTCTCACGTTTAGGTCTTTCATCCATTTTGAATTTATTTTGTGTATAGTGTAAGAAAGTGGTCCAGGTTCATTCTTCTGCATGCAGCTGTCCAGTTTTCCCAGCACCCTTTGCTGAAGAGACTGTCTTTTTTCCATTGGGTATTCTTTCTTGCTTTGTCAAAGATTAGTTGGCCATGTGTTTGTGGGTCCATTGCTGGGTTCCCTATTCTGTTCCATTGATCTGTGTGTGCCAGTACCATACTGTCTTGATGATTATGGCTTTTGTAATACAGCTTGAGGTCCGGAATTGTGATGCCTTCAGCTTTGGTTTCTTTTGAAACGTTACTGTGGCTATTCAGGGTCTTTTCTAGTTCCATATAAATTTTAGAATTGTTTGTTCTCTCTCTGTGAAGAATTCTGGCATTATTTTGATAAGGATTGCATTGAATATGTGGATTGCTTTGGGTAGTTATCGACATTTTAACAATATTTGTTCTTCCAATCCATGAGCATGGAATGTTTTTCCATTTTTTGTGTCTTCTTTAATTTCTTTCATAAGCTTTCTGTAGTTTTCAGTGTATGGATCTTTTGCTCTTTGGTTAAGTTTATTCCTAGGTATTTTATGGGTTTTGGTGCAATTGTAAATGGGCTTGATTCCTCGATTTCTTTTTCTGCTGCTTCATTATTGGTGTCTAGAAATGCCACAGGTTTCTGTACATTGATTTTATATCCTGCGACTTTACTGAATTCATGTATTAGCTCTAGCAGTTTTTTGGTGGAGTCTTTGGGGTTTTCCACAAAGAGTATCATGTCCTCTGTGCAGAGTGAAAGTTTCGACTTCTTCCTTGCTGATTTGAATGCCTTTTATTTCTTTTTGTTGTCTGATTGCTTTCAACACTATGTTGAACAGCAGTGCTGAGAGCGGACATCCCTGTCTTGTTCCTGACCTTCGGGGGAAAGTTGTCAGTTTTTCCCCATTGAAGATTATATTAACAGTGGGTCGTTCGTATATGGCTTTTATGATCTCGAGGTAGGATCCTTCTATCCTTACTTTCTTGAGGGTTTTTATCAAGAAAGGATGCTGTACTTCGTCAAATGCTTTCTCTGCATCTCTTGAGAGAATCGTGTGGTTCTTATCCTTTCTTTTATTAATGTGACGCATCATGTTGATTGATTTGTGGATATGGAACCAGCCCTGCGGCCCAGAATTTTCATTTTGATCAAACAAGCAATTTGAAGTTTCTGTCTTTGTTTGGGGATTGGCAGAAGTGTGCAGCAACCCAGAGGGCAAACCAAAACTCTTGGGCTTCGGCTTGCATAGGTATAAGAACTGAAGACAGGGAGGTGGGAGATTGTTTTCTTGGCTTGTTTTCTCACTTTGGGTTCTTAGCCCTTCCGCCAGCAAGCAACAAGAGGACATCAGTAATTTGGAAGAAAGCGCACAGGTTTTAACTTTTCCTTCTATTCTCCTCCTTAGCAGAGCCCATCACTGCTGCCACGCCAACGAAGCATCAGCCCACCTCTTATCCGTTCTGACACAATCTCTAAGGACTTGGAGGAAATCTCTGTTGATGAGGAGTCACCTGAGAGCTCACCAAAGGACGTTTCAGAGCAGATCTTGACAATGAAGAAGGTGAGTGTTAGCCCCCTCCTAGGGCTTGGTTTGGTTGTGGGGCACAGGTCGGAGGCATGATCTCTCTGCTTGCACTCTCTTCTGCTGGAGCTGAGCACTAGGGGGGCATTTGGGGAAGGAGCGGCCATTTTTTACTTTTGACTTGCATGGTGGTTTTCTGCCCAGTCTACAAACCAAATCATCAGCACTTTAGTTGATGAGCAACAGAAGACAGTATTTCAGAAAACAAGAATAGTTTGCCGAGGTTTTCAGTTATTTCGGGAAGAAAACAATGGAGATTTTTATGGGAGTAAAGGCTCTGTGTTTTCGACTGGCAGAATCTCAAGGGTTAGGGCATGTAGTATTGTTTGGTAGACGCACACCCATGTGAAAAATCATTTGACACATGAGAGGGCATGTATTGTGCATTTTATGCATTTGGGTTTGTCAATGAAGTCATATCCATCAACAACTGGGAAATTAGTAGATTGTACCCATATCAATACTTCCGTTCTCAAACTAATGAGTGGTTAATTTAATTGGTTGTTAGTGAACTTGAAAGGACTTTTAAATATACATATACATATATATATATGTATATTTAATGTTTATTTATTTATTTTGAGAGAGAGAGAACACTAGCAGGGGAAGGGCAGAGAGAGAGGGAGAGAGAGAATCCCATTCAGGTTCCACACTGTCAGCGCAGAGCCCAATGTGGGACTCGAGCCCATGAACCATGAGATCATAAGCTGAGCCGAAATCGAGTCGGGTGCTTAACCCACTGAGCCACTCAGGTGCCCTAGGACTTTTAAAGTGAAGTAGCATTTAGAACAATTAACGTTGGGAACTAAAAAGTAAACAGGAAGGTAATTTATCAACGTTTATTTATTTTTGGGACAGAGAGAGACAGAGCATGAACGGGGGAGGGGCAGAGAGAGAGGGAGACACAGAATCGGAAACAGGCTCCAGGCTCTGAGCCATCAGCCCAGAGCCTGACGCGGGGCTCGAACTCACGGACCGCGAGATCGTGACCTGGCTGAAGTCGGACGCTCAACCGACTGCGCCACCCAGGCGCCCCCAGGAAGGTAATTTATAATGAAGATAATTGACCAGTCAGCACAAAACTGTTTTGATGTTAAAAGATCCAATGGAGGGAAGCAGCCTTCAGTTAAATATGTCAACAACAACAACAACAACAACACCCCAGTCAAGTTAGGAACAAAATTAAAGCATAGGCAAATGGTAGGTGGATATGGTTCCTCACCAGCCAATGGATTTAGACTATGACTGTAAGTATTTTCAGCAGAATACTGCTAAATCAGATAAATTAGTCTGAATTGGTGGAAGGATTGAATTAGATAACTTTTATTGTGATAAAATACACATAACATAAAATTTATCATGTTAGGGGCGCCTGGGTGGCTCAGTCAGTTAAGCGTCTGGCTCTTGGTTTTGGCTCAGATCGTGACCTCATGGTTCGTGGGTTCCAGCCCCACGACAGGCTCTGTGCTGACAGCGCAGAGCCTGCTTGCCAGTCTTTCTCTCCCTTTCTCTCTGCCCCTTCCATGCCCCCCCCCAAAATAAATAAGTAAACTTCAAAAAAATGTATCACGTTAAAGCATACAGTTCAGTGGCATTAATTCACAACCATCACTCCTATCTAGGTCCCGAATGGTTTTGGTTACCCCGTACTTATTAAGCAGTCATTCATCATTCCACTTTCCTCTCAGCCCCTGGCAACCACCAGTCTGATTTCTGTCTCTGGATTTGCCTATCATATAAGTGTATATAGTACTCCAGTTGTTTCTATGGCTGAATAATACTCCGTTGTATGGATATACCACATTTTGTTTAGCTCTTCATCCACTGATGGATATTTGGGTCCTATCTACCTATTGGCTATCATGAACAGTGCTGCTATGAACGTTCATATACAAGTTTGTGTTTGAGCATATGTTTTCAGCTCTTTTGGGTGTATACCTAGCAGTGAAATTGCTGGATCATATGGTAATTCTGTATTTAACCTTTTGAGGAGGCGCCGAACTGTTTTTCTCAGCAGCTACACCACTTTACGTTCCCACCAGCTATGTTTAGGGGTTCTGGTATCTTCACATGCCGGTCAACATTTGTCATTTTCCATTTTTTAAAAATAGTCACTCTAGTGGCTGTGAAGTGTATGTATCTCATTGTGGTTTTGATTTGTATTTCACTAGTGACTAATGATGTTAACCATCTTTTCTTGTGCTTATTGGCCATTTGTATACCTTCTTTGGAGACATGTCTATTTAAGACCTTTGCCCATTTTTTATTTAACGCGTTGTTTTTTTGTTGTTGAGTTACGAATTCTTTATATATTCTGGATACTAGACCCTCTTCAGATCTATGGTTTGCAAACGTTCCCCCCCCATTCTGTGAGTTGTCTTCTAATTCTATCAAAAGAATAAAATTTTTAAAAAATTTAATTTTGACGAAGTCAAATTTATTGATATTTTTTCTTTTGATACTTGTGTTTTTGGTGTCATATCTAAGAAGCCATTGCCCAACTTACGATCATGAAGATTTACCCCTATGTTTTCTTCAAAGAGTTTTAGCTCTTATATTTAGGTCTTTGATCCGTTTTTAGTTCATATTTATATATGGGGTGAGATAGGGTCTAACTTCATTTTTTTTTTAATTCAAGTTAGTTAACGTACAGTGTTGTCATGGCTTGCATGTGACCATCCAGTTGTCCCAGCACTGTTTGTTGAAAAAAACTATTATTTCTTCCATTTAATGTTCTTGGCGCCCTTGTTGGAAATCAGTTAACTGCAGATGAATGGAGACATATATATGTCTCCATTCATATGTGTATGTATATATATATCTGTAGATACATAATTTTCTATGTATAAGATCATGCCATTTATAAATGGAGATAGTGTTACTTCTTCCTTTCCAGTTTGCATGCTTTTTGTTTCTCTTCCTTGCCTAATTGGCTGGAACTTCCAGTAGAACAAATAAAAGTGGCAAAAGCAAACATCCTTTTCTTATGCCTGATCTTAGGGGGAAAGATTTCAGTTTTTCACCATTGAGTATGATCTCAGCTATGGATTTTTCATATAAGCTTTCTATCCCTAGTTTGTTAGGTGTCTTTAGTATGAACAAGTATTGGATTTTGTCAAATGCTTTTCTTTCTTTTTTTTAAAATGTTTATTCATTTTTGAGAGAGAGAGACAGAGTGCAGGGGAGGGGTGGGGGGGTGGGGCAGAGGATCTGAAGCAAACTCTGTGCTGACAGCAGAGAGCCTGATATGGGGCTCAAACTCACAAACTATGAGATCATGACCCGAGCCAAAGTCAGATGCTTAACCCACTGAGCCACCCCGGGCACGCCTGTTAACAGTGCTTTTCTACATCAATTGAAATGATCGTGTAGGTTTTTTTTCCTTCATTCTATTAATATGGTATATTATTACATTGAGTGATTTTCATATGAAACCTCCTTGCAATTGATTGCCGTGCTATACAATTGCCTTAATATGCTGTTGGACCTTGTTTGCTAGTATTTTTGCGTGTGTATTTACGAGGGACATAGGTCTAAAGTATTCTTTTCTCGTGATACCTTTATTTGGCTTTGGAATCATGACCGTGGTGGCCTCGTAGAATCAGGAAGTGTTTCCTCTTCGATTTTTTTTTTGAAATATTTGTTAAGGATTGGTGTTAACTATTTAAAAGTTTGGTAAAATTTATCGGTGAGGCCATCTGGTCCTGGTCTTTTTTGTTATTGTTGGGAAGTTTTGATTACTGATTCAGTATCTTTACTCGTTATCGGTCAATTCAGATTTTCTATTTCTTCTTGAGTCAATTTTGATAATTTTGATAATTTGGATGTGTCTAGGAATTTATCTCTTTCATCTAGGTAATCTAATTTGTTGACATACAATTATGTGTAGTATTGTCTTATAATTCCTTTTATTTCTGTAAAGTCCATAGTAATTTTCACTTCTCATTTCTACTTCTAGGGATTTGTGTCTTCTGTCTTTTTGTCTTAGTAACTCTTCCTAAAGATTCGTCGATTTTGTTTTACTCTTCAAAGAACCAACTTTTGGTTTCATTGACTTTCTCTATTGTTTTTTCTATTCCCCATTTCTCTGTCTCTGCCTTAATCTTTATTATTTACTTCCTTTTGCTAGCTTTGACATTTTAAGATACAGAGTTTTCTCTTGCTGTGAATTTGAGTAGGCTAACTATGCATTTTATAGGCTAATGAACAGAGTTAAATTATTTATAGTCAACATTTCCAAGCACCAGTCTAAACATTCGTCCTGCTGGAGTGTCATGAACTTCCTATTAGTAAATTCAAGAATTCAGTCAGGTTGCTTGCAGTACGTTAAGCGTTGGGCTGGCAGACAGAAAGTCTAATCTTTGGTGGTCTAGTCAACCTCCTATCACCCCCAGGCATGAGAGTTTCTTGGCTGTTTCTGCCATGCTTCTTGGTTCGTGAGTTCACCGTGGTGAACACAAGGGGGACAGGTGGTGGCAACCGCGTCATTCCAAGAAATCGCTGGAATCACCATCCCAACCAGATATGCTGGCCCGGAAGCTTCTCTAAGCTTCCCATAAATTATGACCCCCAAGCAGTCTATCCCTGGAGGCCTCCCCACCAACCCAACTCCTACCGCCTTCTCACTGAGGATCGACTAAGGAGCTCGGCGCAAAACCGAATCCTCCAAATAGGAAAGTCAGACGAAAAGAGGACTCCATCTCCAAGGACTCTTTCCAAGTTCAAGTTCGCTGTTTCATTTTCTTCTCCAAGCTGCTGCCTCCTACTGGTACCAGGGGGGAAACACATTACCCTTCAAGGACACCAAGACTCATAATTAAAATGGCGAAAAGTAATGATAAAGAGAGGTCTTTCAAAGGACACCTCCGACCTTTTACTCCAGGCTCACTTTTTCCTTCCACCCCACCCCCTCCTGGGGGCAGAACAGGAAGGATTGCCTGAAGCCTCGCTGCCTCAGCCTGTGTCTTCCATGTTTCCTTGGGTGAAGAGTTGAGCGCTTTGCCCCTTTCAGTTGTGGTTAGCGAAACTCCCCTGAGTGATCTTCCTCTTTCGGCCTCACAGCCCTCTGTCCTGGTTCAGTGGCTTGTGTCCTTTGAGTAGAGGTGAGACTGGCAATGGGGACGAACAGATATCTTTGCAGAGCGCAGGCGACACAGTGACATAGTGAGCCATGGTGACTCTGTTTGACGTCGGCTCTTACCACACAGGGAGACACAAGCCCAGACGATCTGACCTAACAGGGCCTGACTCATCCACCCCGCCGGCCATCTTTAGCCCCCACCTTGGACCAGAGGATCTTCCTGCTTAGCACTTCCCTGACCCCCGCCACTCTCCCAACCTGGCTCATGTTCATCTGTATTCCCTGATGAGCCCATAGAAGATCTTTCTTCTTCAATATTGCTTTTCATGGGGAAAAATAAGTGTGCAAAAGAGAAGCCATGCGTACACAACCCCATCGCTTTTCGCTCTTGGGAAAGGGGTGTATCAAGTACTTAGGTGCTTATGGTCCGAGCTGATCAAGCACCTGGGCTTTAGTTCCACTGTAGGGTGAATGTTGCTATTGAACGTGGTGGGGGTTAAGTCGCTGCCAGTCCTAACATCGTATAGGCTAATGAAGAGTTAATTTAGAGTCCGGCAGGACTGCCTCCTTTTGCTTTACCCCTGATGGCCTATTCCATAATTCACCATTACTATTTATAGATAGGTTTTTGAAGCCCAGTGATACATTTTTTTAAATCCCCTGACACATCATAGGAGGGCCTAATGCCCCCAGCCCCGCCGCTGTTGCATGGAAATTTGTAGCTCACAAAGTGATTATGCATATATAGGTGCATTTGATTGTCTCAGTAACTCAGTAAGGTAGATAGGGAAGGTACTGTTATTCCCGTTTTAGGTGGAAACAAACAAACCAACCCAAAGAGGTTCAGAGAGGTGAAATGACTTGGCCAAGGCTACAGAGCCAACCGAAGCTGATTCAAACGCGGGATTCCTGCCTAAATCCACCCCACTTTTTCACCAAACCATGTGGACTCTAGCAGCTCTCTAAATTTATACAACCAGCGCCCCAAACAGCAACAGCTGCTCACACGTATGGAGACTTTCTGTTTTTAACGTTTAGTTATTTTTCAGAGGGGGGGGAGAGGGGCAGAGGGGGAGGGAGACGCAGAATCGGAAGCAGGCTCCAGGCTCCGAGCTGTCAGCACAGAGCCCGACGCGGGGCTCGAACCCACGAACCGGGAGATCAGGACCTGAGCCGAAGTCGGATGCTTAAGCGACTGAACCCCCCGGGGCGGCTAAAATTTTAAATAGGTTAGCCAGGGAAGGTGTCTGTCACTGAGAAGGTGGCTTTTGTATCAAGACGTAAAGGAAGTGAGAGAGGCAAGCCACCGGAACGTGCAGGAACAGCGTGCCCAGCAATAACACGTGTTGTTCCTGTAGATAACGCAGGCAAATATGCACCGCCAGGAAGAGGTGTCCCATGAATTCACGAATAAAGAAGCTAAGAAAGGCCCGGGACCCCTCCTAATCTTGCGCGATCGACCCTCCAAAAGCTAGCATTCCTCCCGCCTTGCCTAGAACCGGAAACGGAATAGTGACCTGGGCAGAGCGTTGGCCCGACCCGTTAGCACTGTGTTATGTCCCCAGGCACTGGGGTCACAGGCCATCTGAGGACCGTATCTGGAGCCCCGTAGGGTATCACCGGACCAACACACAGCAGAGGTGGGGACATGTGAAGAGATGTGAAAGCCGCAGATACCAGAGGGGCCCCGGGTGCGGTGACAAGCCAGGTTGGAAAGAGCCAGCGAGTCCACAGAACTGGAAATTCCGTCCACCCGCGGAACCCGATCGCCTGTCACTGGTGTCCAGGGAAGAGATGGCTCATCACCTGGCTTTCGGAGGGGCTCTCCTAAACGCAGATATTTGGAGTTTCTCAGGAGCGGGAGGTGCTCTGGGCTGTGCCTTTGAGGTGTAGCAAAGGCGACGGCGGGAAGCCCAGAGAAGGCTGTTTTGAAACCTCTACAGAGGAGCTCGACTGGGAGCCCCAGGCCCGGATGGTTTGGCAATAGGGGGAAGCCAGCCATAACGAGGCAAAGGTGACAGGATCCATCCCACCTCATCGCGGGTGAGGACGCTCAGTTCCTCAGGGTCCTGCTTCCTCATTCTGGAACAGTAAATGTCAATCAAGGCAGCGTGCTGTGTAGGCAAAAGACAAGCCCCTTTTCCACCCTGATTTTCTCCCCTCCGCGCCCTCCCCCCCTCTTATGGAGAAACCCCAGAACCCTATTGGGTTTTATTGACACAGACTGGGCCTCTCACCCCAGTCAGCCCCTCCTGCTACGGAACGGGGGGTAGGGGATGAGAGAAAATACAAATCCTCTGACCTTGTAAGCTCCATGAAGTGGCTGAGTTCTTCTCTGAGGGCAGAGGGGAGCCCCCACATCCTTTCTAAGCAGGGGAGCCCCCTGAACTTCAGGTTTCTTGCCCTCCCCTACGAGGGAAGCAGCAGAAGTGAGCCCGTTGACCAGAAGCGTGAATATGGCTGGAGGGAAAGGGACAAGTAAAGAAATCAGGAGAGATTTCTTCTTTGGGAGGTCATCAGCCGGAACAATTTCCAGCACGCGGAGCTGCCTCATTTCTTTTCTGCCACTCTCTCCAGAGCTCCTTTGAGCCCTCACCTGGACCCGTCCACTCACAGTCCTTGACCACACTTACCGTGATAACCTCTCCCAGCAGCGCTCAGCTGCCCATTGGTTTTAGCACCCCAGCCTCCCCGAAGGCCTGTTGGGATTCTTCAGCTGCTTGACACAAGACGGCTTTAAATCCCCGGAAGCAAAAGGAGAAGAAGGACATTCAAACGACTGTGAGTCCTTCAAGAGGCCTGGGACAAAACCCCTCATATCATAATAAGAATGGGTTCCAACCTTCACCAACTGCTCTTGGGGGAGTGGTATGATTTGGGGGATCCATACCCCGAGGAGGGATGGTAAAGTCAAGGGCACTGTCCCAAACTCGACACCCCGCCCCACCCCCGAGAGGGGAGCGAACCCGCGTGCAGAACTTCCATAAGAGGGACTGAAGAAAGCGGACACAGTGACCTAAACCCCAGAAACTGCTGGGAATTCACTCAGCCTTTCTTTGTAGAGGGCATTCAACCGTAGCCCAGATTAGGTTTCTTTCAATTATCATTTTTGCAACGTTTCTTTAGTTTTGAGAGAGCACAAGTGGGGGAGGGGCAGAGAGAGAGCTCAGCTTGGACACCTCAATTTAGCTTCAGAAAGAGAACAAACTGTGGGTTGAAAGAAGAGGTGGCAGGACAGCAGGTCCGGGGGGCCCTCTGGTGGCCCTGAGAGGATCTCCTTGGTTGTCGAGCAGAAGGGGACTCATCCCTGTGCACTAAACCCTATTTACATACATCGTCGCCTGGACACCTCACCACAAACCTAGGAGATGGGGGGGGGGGGGTGGTGGCCGAGGGAGAGTTAGCGTGAACCTCTGACTCCCTTCCTTCTGCATGACCTAATTAAGAAAACGCCTGGGCATTGGTCTCTAAGAAGGTCAGCCCGTCTTCTTCCGTGTGACTCTCCCTGACTCGTGGGCGAATACGAAAGGGTCCGGGATCGTTTATGACACAGAGGCTGCTGCCACCTGCTCCTTGCTCTGGAATCTCTTGGCTTTTCTCCTCACCCCCTGGCTTATAGATGTGGGTGTAGAGATTTAGAGATAGATGTGGACACGTTATTTCAAGAATAACTGGCCGAGGTCACTCGGTGAGTAGATAATGGAGCAGAGACTTGAGCCCGGGTCTACCTCACCTCATTCACTCACCAATAGATTACGTTGACCTGAGTCTGTCTGCACAGGCACTTCGAGTGAGGGCGTCAATGGTAACACACTTGATACATCAGATCAGTATCAGTATCAGTAATAGATCAGAGGTACGTCCATAAAGGCTCGCACGGAGCAAATTTCGGTCACCGCTCGGCACACTGCTCCTCTGACATTTCCAAAGCTGCGCTGTAATCATCTGTAAACCTGGTTTATGTTAAACCAAGCCCAAGCCTTTCCGCATAAGGGCTGAACCCTTCGTCGTGTTCTCTCTTCTTTCCCAGCAAACCTCCGATCCTCTTTGCTTCCTTGGAGCTGGAGAGGCCTGATTCGTGCTTTCACTAAATTCCCTGAAAAGAAGCCGAACGGGCTTTGAATTTGGCTCCCGGGTCGGGTGCAACGCATTTGGGAATGCCAGCGTCGCCAAGAAGCTGGTTGCCGTCCGGCCCAACAACCACGGCTGCAGACTGACGGCCTGGTGGCGTGGTTCGGCAGTTCCCGGGGTTAGTTTTAGAAGGTTCCCTGCAGCACATCGCTCAGGGGTCAGAAACTTCGAATTCACGTGACTCGCTTCCAATAGGTAAAATGATCACTTCCAACAGGGAAAAGGATCAGCGGAGGATGAGTGCCATTGGACATGATTTCTATGGTTAATGGTGTCGTTATGCTCCCAGCTGAACCATTTGGATATCAAGGACTTTTTTCTTCCCCCTGATGTTACTTTCTTTGGCAACCACGCAAGGGTGGGTGGGAAACCCTTCAGTCGGGTTCAGGCGCTTTCTTTCCCTCTTTTAGGTGGAGCCAAAACAGGGGAAGCCAGGCGTTCCGCTGGTGTCTCAAGAAGAGAAGAGTACAACGACATCCCAAGAAGCTGTCCAAAAGAAGCCGAAAAACGACAGTGCAGGTTGGCACATCCTTACCCTCATTCAGAAACGCGTATTAGGAGCTTTATGGCACAGGGCTAGGTGATAGGAGCTGTGGAGTGAGATTCAGCTAGGCCTGCGGCCTCCGGTCCTCGGAGAGCTTTCAAGTTCAGGTGCACACCAACGGGGTCCAGGTTCCTCCATTGAAACTGCCCGGCTGGGGCGCCTGGGTGGCGCAGTCGGTTGAGCGTCCGACTTCAGCCAGGTCACGATCTCGCGGTCCGGGAGTTCGAGCCCAGCGTCGGGCTCTGGGCTGATGGCTCAGAGCCTGGAGCCTGTTTCCGATTCTGTGTCTCCCTCTCTCTCTGCCCCTCCCCCGTTCATGCTCTGTCTCTCTCTGTCCCAAAAATAAATAAACGTTGAAAAAAAAAAAAAAAGAAAGAAAGAAACTGCCCGGCTAATACAATTGCCCCTTGTAGGGGATTAAGGTAAAAGATTATACCCGGATCTCTATTTTATCTAAATGCGTTTCCAGCCAGAGATCTGGGCAGCTGTGGATAGGTGTCCTTGACAGCCGGCACCTACCAAATCCCCCAAATAAGAAATACCACTGGGGTGGAAATCTGTGTGTGTGTGTGGGGGGGGGGGGGTGGTGGATGGGGACGTTGGTTGCTGCCGATGACAGCCTAATTTCAAGCAATACTCGATACAACAAAATTCTAGCTCCACAATTAAGTTGAACAGGTATATTTTTGCCACAAAGGATTTCCCTGTGTGGGTTCAAAGACAGGAGATCCCTAGACACATTTCCCCATGAAAATTCACAAAACTCATCTGCAGGAAGAAGGAGGAGGAGGAGAAAATGCGATGAAAATTAAATTTACTTCTTTCTTAATCTTTTTCTCATATTTCTTATTGTTCAAGTTTTGTAACGTTTAAAATTGTTTTAATGTTTATTTATTTTGGAGAGAGAGAGAGAGAGAGAGAGAGAGAGAAACAGAGAGCGACAGAGCACGAGTGGGGGAGGGGCAGAGAGAGAGGGAGACACAGAATCCCAAGCCGCCGAAGTTGGATGCTTAACCGACTGAGCCACCCGGGCGCCCCTCATATTTATTTTTAATAGTTGTCCCTATTGTTCAAACATGTATGTCCCTCATGTTCAGGCTTTCCAAGAATTGCTTTGCATGTGCATGACATCAGATTGATTTAATACAAGAGAGTAAAAAGCAAAAGAAAAGGGGGCCGCAATCCTACCTCCCAGATGACCCCCTGTTGGCACCTTGCTAAAAATTAAAGCGACAACTGCACGTGATATGGAAATTAGAATTAAGTAAAAAATCTAAATACTAATCAGAAAGTGAAATTCCCCTTTGCCCGGCCCCAGTCAGTTTCCTAAAGGGTAATGCTTGTTACGGGTTCAAACCGGGGTGGCTCAGTCAGTTAAGCGTCTAGCTCTTGACTTTGGGCTCAGGTCGTGATCTCACGGTTCGTGGGTTTGAGTCCCCACATCGGGCTCTCTGCTGTCAGCGTTGAGGCTGCTTCGGGTCCTCTGTCCCCAGCCTCCCCCATCGCTGCCCCTCCCCCCCTTGCACGCCCTCTCTCAAAAATAAATAAACCGTTTTTTTTAAATCTTACCAAAAACATTGCCTTTTATTGTGTCTCACGCCTCCTGGTGGACCAGACTACCGATTTGATGTCGACGAGCCAACGTTGTAACCAGTTCGCAAAACTGGGGTTTCACTTCGATGTCAAAATTCCCAGCTGCAGAGGCTGACGGTGACCAAGGGGCTCCCTTTCTTCTGAATAGCTTCGTCTTTTAGCCTGAGGAATTCAGTGGTACCCATGGGGCCGGGGCAGAATAGTCTTATTTTAGGAAGTCAAAGGCCCATATCGTTTTCTTTTCCTTGTGTCCTCTTTGGTACAGGTACCTCAAGCCTGGAGCAGAGCAAGAAAACCGAAACTCCGGATAAGAAGACAGCAGAGCAGACCGCAAACCCAGATGCTGCTGGCACGCAGGGTTACCTGCCGACGACGGCGTTTGGAAGACAATGTGCAAGGAGAGGTCCCGGTGCTATAGGAATGAGTGAGTGTGGGCTCAGAGGAAGAACCTTCAAACAGTTTCCTGTCTTCTCGGCGGACCTCTCTCTGGAGCAGTCCACAACTCCACCGGCCATAAGCGTGACTCCTCAGGAGGGACTTTCGGATACAGATGGCCTGGGAAAGAGAAATACTGGGATGGATTTTAAAGCTGGAACCGCAGCAGGAGCCCAGTCTGTACCTGAAGACGTGGAAGGGTCCACGGTTGGTGACCCATCAACATGCCGTGAGGACGGGGCCCCGGGAGCCAACAGGCCAGAAGCCATGGCTTCTCTCTCGTCAGCGGCAACCGAGGCCGAAGCGTTTAAGGATCCTTCTCGCACCCAGTCGGGGAGGGAAGAAGCCTGCAGCTCCGATTTGCAAGGTATCCGGCTTGAGACGCCGCCTCTCAGGAGCCTTTCCCTGGCCGTGGTGAAGTTCCACGCTGAAGAAGAGTCCTCTGATTCCGAGAGCTCTTCAGAGGTGGGGGGTGGTTCTGATCAGGTGCCTCCCAGGCCTGCTTCCCAGCAGGAGAAGCCCAAAGGTGACCAAAAAGTCTTCCCCAAACCAGGAAGTTCAGCTGTGGAACCGAGCCGGCCCGGGCAGCAGCTGGCTTCTAGATCTCCTTCCTGGGCCGGGGCGCGGCCCGAAGCTGAAGAGGCCTCCTTGGATTCCGAGAGTGTTCCAGAGGACGAAGACACCTCGGAGCAGCAGGTGCGTCCCGGGCGCTCTCTCCAGTCGGCAGGGAAGCCCGACCGTGGCCAGGAAGTCTTCGCGGAGCCCAAGAGCCCCGCTTCCAAGGTCTTGGGGGAGCCCAAAGTGTCCACCGAGTGGCACAGTTACGCTGACAAGTACAAGAGTGCTGACCCTTCCCGGGCCTGGAAGGAGAAGCCCAAGGACCAAGGAGGAACCCCCTCAGTTTCGAAGAGCGTACTTAAGGAGTGGGATGCTTCCATGCAGCGGCTCGCTCTCCAACAGCTTCCTCAGTCCTTCGCGAAGCCGGCTGCTCAGCAGCAAGTGTCGTCCGGCCTGGTGAGGGCTTTGGCACGGCGGAGCGGCTTTGCAGAGCACCTGCTGCCCCAGTCCGGGATGGGCGCCAAGGCCGAGCAGCAAGCCTCGGCGTGTCTGGAGAGCACTGCCAGGGACTGGGGCCTCTCCCTGGAGCCGCTGCCACCCAGGACCTCTTTGAAGCACCTGATGGGGCGTAAAGTTGGGCAACCGGTCTCCAAAAGTCCAGAAATTGCCATGACCCCAGGGGTCAATTCCGCGGCCCTCAAATGTCATTCTAAGCCTCCCCCGAAACCCACGGCGGGGGATGCATTCCCTCCAGGTCCAAAGCACGTGTCTGTTTCGAAGCAAGTGCTGCCGCCCAAGGATCCTTTCTGGGCCCTGCTGAGATCGGTAGTTGAGAAACAAGTCCCCCCCGGTGCGGAAAGTGCTGTGGTTGAGAAGGACGCTTCTATGCAGCCGCTGGTCCCCAAACATCGGTCCCCCAGGCAACCTCTGGTCCGGCGACAAGTCTCTGTGAGTCCGGAGAGCGCTGCAGCTGAGGGGGGCGCTTCTGGGGGGCCACTGCTCCCCACACATTCTGCTCGGCCCCTGGTGAATCCTCAAAGCCAGCAGATCTCAGAGAACGCTGCGGTCAAGAAGGGCACAGCTGCTGAGCTGCCTCGCGGAGGCCCTTTCCAGCCCTCTGGGAGGCCCAGACTCCAGGCACAGACCCTCCCCCCCGGCTCGGTTAGTGCTTCTGAGGGCAGCGGTCCTGAGGAGAAGATGCCTCCCCCCCACACCTCCCGGGCCTGGGTGAGCCCCAGAGTTGAGCAAGAAGCCTCCTCGGGTTCAGCGAGTGCTCCCGCAGCACGGAGCACTCCGGTGGAGTCAAAGCCTCCCAAAAGCGCTCTGCAGGCCTGGGGCAACCGTAAATCCAAGCAAGCAGCCTCCACGGGCCTGGAGGGCGCTGTGGCCGAGAAGGGTGGGTCCAAGGTGCAGCGCCCCCCCAGAATGTCTTCTCAGTCCCCGATGAAACCCGTGGGGAAACAAGCAGTGTCTGCAGGGCCGGAGAGCGTGGCCGCCAAGAAGGAGGCTTGTGCAGAACCACTGCCTCCCAGGCAGTTTTCCAGGTCCCTTGCGGGACACAAAGTCCAGCAAATATCTTCAAATTTTGAGAGCAGTGCTGCGGAGGGCGCCGTCTCCGGGAAGCCACTGCCTCCCAAGAATCCTACCCAGGTCTTGGTCAGGTCTAAAGTCCAGGAAATGTCCTTGCGTCTCGAGAACAAGGCCCTTGAAGGAAACACGTCTAAGAAGTCACCGATTCCGAGATATCCTTCCCAGTCATTTGTGAAGTACATGGCAGAACGAGTCTTTTCAGAGAGCCCCGCGGCCGAGCGGGGATTTCACACGAATCCCCCATCTACAAATCCACCTTCCAAACCTTCGATGAGGCCCGAGGCCCAGGGCCAAGTCTTCTCAGGTCAGAAGAATGCCAGCATGGGGGGAGGCATTTCCTCACAGCTGCTGCCTTGGAAAGGCCCTTTACGGTCCTCAGGGAGGCCCGAAGACCCCAAAGAAGCCTCTTCGCATTCGGAGAGCGCTCCTGCGAAGTCGAGTGGTTCAAAAAAGCAGCCGCCTCCCAGATACCTTTCCCAGGCACTGGGGAAGCTTGAGTACCAGCAATATGGCTCCCTGGTCTCTGTGAGCGCTCTTGAAGACAGGAAGAGTTTTAAAGACAAGCTGCCTTCTGGAGGCCCTTCCCAAGCCAAGAAGGGGCCTGAATCACAACCACATGTTTCCTCAACAGGCTCAGCGAGTGCGCGTGTGGGGTGGAGTTGTTCTGAGGGGCCCCTGCCTCGCAGATCCTCCTTCTGGGCTTTTGCAGACCCTGAACATCAGCGACAGGTTCCTTCCGGTTCCGTGGGCGCTGCTGCTGAGGGAGCCATTTCTGGGAGCAATCCTAGCAGCCGGTCCGTACCCAAAGGCCCGGCTTCTCCACACAGAGCCAAGAAGCGTAGCCACAGCTCTGAAGACCTCATTAAGAATATCCTGGCTTCTGCTGCGAAACCCGTGAAGTTCACTTTTGCTCCCGCCAGCCAAACATCCACTTCCGGGGTCACTTACCCTAAGGAGGAAGTTGTCAAGAGCAGTGATCCAAATAACAGCCACTCAGACGTGTCCACCGCCGAGGCTGATGTTGAAAACGTCTTTGGGATTCGAGTGAGAAAAATCCCTACCTCGGACAAGTTCAAGGATGAGACACAAGATGACCGGACCAAGCTTTCTTCACTCTCCCTGGGCCCAAAGTCATTTCCTGTATGTAAAGGGAAGCGAATCAGAAGAAGCGCTTCCCATGGGTTCCTGGGCACCGCAGAGCACCTCATCCCAGGATATGAGTTTGCAGAGAAGCAACAGGACAGGCCCAAATCTGAAATCATAGCTGGGAATCAACCCGCTTGCAAGGTCCCAGGTGAGACTTTCTTTTTCCAGAGGGCAAGTACCGAGTGGGGGGAAGCACGAGAAATCAAAGCCTTGAACGGGAGGAAGTCTGTTCTAGCCTGGCCGGCTGAGCTGATGCTCCGATGGGGCTGTCTTGGTGCATTTTCTGAGCAGGGTGGTGCCCCGTTCTAGATGAATGGACGTGGAGACGGTCAGTTGTGAATCTTCCCGTTCCCAAGGAGATCCAGCCATCTGGACAGCTGTCCACATTCTGTGATGGACACACGACCACCTCCTTATTCCTTCTCCCCTGACCCTCTGTACACCTTACCCCGAGGTGGAATTGTATACTTTCCTCCAAATACTTTGACACGTCCTGTGCTCTGCCCACGACACCGTGGGGATTTTCAAAGCCAACTCATTAGTAGAGCGCTATGGGCAGCCTCTCAGCCCGAAATCTTAATTCACTGGGAATGTCCATAGTTCCTTAGCTTCTTCACACCCCTGACATGCCTAAGAATCCTGAGCTAGGTGGTCTTTGGGGCACTGGTCTCTCTCAAAGCCTTTGTACCTTCAGACTGGCCACCACATACTCTTGAGTAGGCCCGTAACCCCACCCGTGGAATCACACACTTGGGTGAAGGGCCATAAGGCTATGAGGTATCCCTTGGGGTTACAGGAATGACATCAATAGCCTGAGCCCCTGGCCTCCGGGGAGTTTTCGCAGCCCACCTGGCAACCACTGTCCTCCCCTGACTTGGGGACAGGAAGAGGGATGGACAAGGGAGGGAAAGGGACCGGTGAGAGGACAGCGTACAAACGTGGAGGTGCAGCCTCTTATCTTCACAAGGAGCTCCTGCCTTTGCCAAGTTGTGGGGATGGCACAGAAGAAGGGGGCCTTTTCTGTGTGATAGCTGTTTATTTTCATCTGGCAGTTAATGAGGATCCCACGTGGTTACGTTATCATGGGTCGGCCCCAGCCTGGCCTGAGACGCTGCCTGCCTCACTTCGGTTGTAACTACTTTCTTTCCTTTCTCAGGAAAGGCTCCTGGTCGACAGGAATATTATAGCATCTCGGACCCAACTTGGATAACCGAGGTAAAGGAGAAGCAGACGAGTTCTCAGGCCCTCCTTTCTAGGAAAGAGCTGAGAACCAAGAACAGAGCCACGATCAAAGAGCCTTCACGTGCGGTAGGACGTGCGGCCGCCCACAGAACACTCCCGAAGGGTGTTAGAACTGGTTGACTAAGCTTGCATTGGGAATTTGGCCAAGCGTGCAGCTTCCCACCTCTGTCGGTGCATTAATCAAGGCCGGGAGGCTCTTCAGGGGGAAGGGTCTTGCCTTGGACTCATACAATAACGTGTCCTGCTGGGGCACCTGGGTGGTTCGGTCAGTTGAGCGTCTGACTTCGGCTCAGGTCATCATCTGACGTTTCGTGAGTTCGAGCCCCATATCGAGCTTTCAGCTGAAGCCTGCTTCAGATCCTCTGTCTCCCTCTCTCTCTGCCCTTCCCACGCTCTCTGTCTCTGTCTCTCTCTCTCTCTCAAAAATGAATAAACAAAAATATGACGTGCCCTGCTTTATGGTCTTAAAGGGCTCATGAAAAGTAATTAATACAAAAAGGTTCTGTAAATCCAATCCTGTCCTAAATATTATAGAGCAGTATTCCATGAAGTCGGTTGAGAAGTGAGGAATAAATCATAGAAAAAGCTGTAAATGGACTCCAACTAGCCATATTTTTTTTCCATGTAACATTTCACTTCTGGACACCTTTCCATATCATACGTAGCAGTTTACCTTATAAAGGCAATGTTTGCTATTTGGGGTTTCACATCTTGCTTTGGTTTGGTGTGGCACCTCCTTATAGGTTAGAAGAAAAGTTACGTGATGAGCTAGACTAATGGTCCCACATGCGGATGGGGGGTGATGGGATGGTGTCTTGCTTTCAGTGTCCCATTTGCAATGTCTTTGGAGGTGTTGGAATGAGAAGCCCTCTTGTCGAAACTGTCAAGAAAACAAATCAAATTTGCATATCAAGATATATCTACGGGGCCCCTGGGTGACTCAGTCTGTTAAGCTTGTGAGTTTGGCTCAGGTCATGATCTCTAGGTCTGTGAGTTCGAGCTCTGCATCGGGCTCTGTGCTGACAGTTCAAGGAGCCTGGAGCCTGCTTCAGATTCTGTCTGTCTCTGTCTCTCTCTCTCTGCCCCTCCTCCACTTGTTCTCTCTCTGTCTGTCTCTCAAAAATAAACATTAAAAAGGGCACCTGGGTGGCTCAGTCGGTTGAGCGTCCGACTTCGGCTCAGGTCATGATCTCGCGGTTGGTGAGTTCGAGCCCCGTGTCGGGCTCTGCGCTAACAGCTCGGATCCGAGCCTGCTTCGGATTCTGTGTCTCCCTCTCTCTCTGCCCCTTCCCTACTCGTGCTCTGTCTCTGTCTCTCAAAAATGAATAAACGTTAAAAAAATTTTTTTAAAAAGAAACATTAAAAAAAGAGATATGTTTAAGGTCCTGTACTTGTAAGTGCTTCCTGTATTTGTTGACGGATCATGTTCAGATCTGTTGAACTCTGCTTTAAAGAGTTTTTTTTCACCTTCCATCATTAGTATCTTTGTGGGAACAGGACCATAGAGGGACCAAGCCCACCTTAGTTAAAGCCGTTGTCAGGGGGAAATGCAGTAGGGTGTATAAACCCATTCGTTGAGACCAGTTGTGCACAGGTTCGTTTGAAAAGCTTCAACTGTATAACTCCGAAAAGACTCATGGCTACATCTCTTTCTAATGCGAAGAGTGCAAGGCAGATGTCAACAGTTTGGCTAAGTGAGATCTTCTGGAACTCCCTTCCATTCGCTGACAAGACTCATTTGTAACCGCCACGTTCCGTCAGCTTGCTGTTAAGTGCTGGTGATGTGCTTGGGAAAAGGTTGTTCTCAGGTTAAATAATCATGTTATTTTAAGCATAATTAAACCATTTGTGGGATTAGAACAGCCTTTTTCTTCCAGATCTCAAAGGTGGTAAACTTGACCCAGCTAAGGTTTTGTGAACCTACATTCTGGACCAAGGTCTCCCAGTGCTATTTCCTTCCTTCCTTCTCTCTCTCTCTCTCCCCCTCTCTCTGTCTCCCTCTCTCTCTTTCCTTTTGACTAATGTTGAACTCATACCCGGGACGAGTCTTTGCCCTTTGTGGTTTTCTGAATAAGTGATTGGCTCTTTTCCACGTCAGGACTTACAAGCCTTTCATTGTCTTTTTTTGTATTAAAGGGAGATACCTTAGAAGATGAAAACCAACCAGCAAGTAGTTTGACCTTCAGCGTCAATAAACAGGAGTAGGTGGCACTGAAGAAGCTACTTCAGCCTACCAAAGGAGGTAAAAACATACACCCTCCCCCGAAAAAGGACCCTGGCAACAATCCATGCCTTCTTTTTCTCACCCCTCCCCGCCTTGCCCCGAATCAGCTTCATGATTCTCAGGGCTCTTCCATTAGGTGCGGATATTAGCTTGTTTTAGGCAAATCCAGTTATTACAACCACTCTAAGTCCACTGTGAAACTTCCAGAGGGTCTTCTGGTCTCCTGCCTGATCGAGGACGCTGTTATAGGCACAGAATTGTGCTCACTCACGAAAATGTTCCTGTGGCTGGTATTCAGGAGGAAAGAAGCAAAAGCTACTTTCCAGTCCATGGGAAAACAGTATTTTCTTGCCTCCTACAGCCCCAATGGCACTTTAATCCACTGTGAAGGCCCAGTGGTATTGAATTGTTCCTTTTAACTATTTATTTTTTTTTTGATGTTTATTTATTTTTGAGAGAGAGAGAATGCAAGCAGGGGAGGGGTTGGTGGGGGGGGACTGAGGATCCAAAGCAGGCTCCGCGCTGACAGCGGAGAGCCCGATGCGGGGCTCGAACCCGTGAACCGCGAGACCATGGCCTGAGCCCAAGTTGGATGCTTAACCGACTGAACCACCCAGGCACTCCTCCTTTTAACTATGTAAAACGCCTGTTTCTCCACCTTCTGAACAAGATGTGAGAAGTGGGGCGATGTCAAAAGCTGAGAGAGCACTGGGCTGGGATAGAATAGAATGTGGTCTCATCGGGACGCCCGGGTGGCTCCGCCGGTTAAGGATCTGACTCTCGATCTCGGCTCAGGTCATGGATTCACTATTCGTGAGTTGGAACCCTGTGTCAGGCTCGGTGCTGGCTGCACGGAGCCAGCTTGGGATTCTCTTTCATTCTCTCTCTGCCCCTATCCCACTCGCGCTCGCTCGTGCGCGCGCGCTCTCTCTCTCTCTCTCTCTCTCTCACAATAAATAAATAAAATTAAGAAAGAATGTGGTCTCATCAGTAGAGTTGTGTGCCAGGGGGATTTTCTTTTCAGCAGGAGCGGGGGGGGGGGGGGGGTGCGGGGTGGATGGATTTGTATTGAATCATCTCTGTCCTCTCCCTTAGTCCCTTTCGTGAAGAATTTGACGAGCAATTTAGGAAACCATGGTCTGACTACGGAATAGTAGGACCCAACATTAACACCAGTCCGGTTTCTACTCAAATCTGTGTCTCCCGAAGCAACCAAATGTCTGATTGCTTAAAAGAAAGAAAGAAAGAAAGAAAGAAAGAAAGAAAGAAAGAAAAGCCCTTGGCGATTCTAATGTGTAACCCGCCCTGAAAACCACGGGTTGAGTCTAAGCCACTAAGTCAGCCGTAAAGCCGAATGAAGAGATAACATAACTATCTGCTTCCTCTCCGGTCTCAATTCAGAAGTGCAAGGCCATCCAGTAACAACAAGCGGCCAAAGATTGGCAGTTACAGCTGTAGGTGTTTTCTCTCAGGCCTTCCCATGCCCAGGCCCCTGTGGCCATAGCCATGTAGATTTTGTCCCTTCGACATCCCACCCGGGGCAGTGCAACATGCGCTGACTTTTAGAAGCCAGAGGAAAGCTAAAAGGAGGAAGAACTGTACTGCTCTCCCATCGACGTAGCTCCATGTCTCTTACCGCGTGTGTGTCATTTGCTGTGGTTCTTGTAGGATTTGAAGATGAGGGGACGTTTCAGGAGCTCGCGGTGGGAAAAGGAATCCAGCGCTCTTCCACTCCCCCAGCCATGCTCCAAGAGCCGGTACAGCCGGAGGAGCCAGTCTGGTTCTCCGTGGCCAAGAAGAAAGCCAAAGCTTGGAGCCAGGAGCCATATAACAGAAATCATGCATTGAGTAGTTCCTGGGTGGAGAGTCAACATTTCAAATGATAATCGCCAAGCGCTCTATTAAGGCCAAGTCGTGACTGACTGACTTTTAACCATTTTTCTTCATTAAGCAAAAGAGCCTTAAGATGGTAATTCAAGCTAATAACCCTTAGAATGCAGCCAATGCCATGAATGCCTGACCTTCAGTACAGTCACCGCCAACATCTGAAAACCCAGCATTTCCTCTATAAAAATGATGTAAGAATGTTTGCACTGCCATAGGGTGGGGAAATCTTGAACGTTGGACAATGTGCCTTAGGAGACGGAAAGCAAAACACATTTTGTTAGAGCAACTAAGACGTGGTCATTTCCCTTGATTAAATAAATTAATTCGAATGGAAATGGCCAGATGGCTTGGCCCAAGGATTGGCTTTTAGGTTTTATGAGCCTGGTTGAATGTTTCAGTTCTTTGGTTCCTGCTCCAAGCTTTGCAAAGGCCCCTAGAGGAGATGGTGGAACTGAATCTCTGCGGAAAATTTTGCCCGGCCTGTCCTCCACTTAGCCATTGCCCTTTGAAGCACTGCCCTTGTACCCCTGGGGCTCCCCAGTGCCTGCAGCTTAGAGCTCCCTCTGTGCACATGTCCCCATGTCACAGGTCTGGTAGCCGTGAACACCTCCCACTGAGACAGAGGATTTCTTGGGGATTATCATCCTCCCTTAGATGGTTAGTTCATCAGTGTTTGACCTCTTGCCCCAATGCCGCTGTGACTCTTCAGTTGCCGAGAGATGTGCTGAATGCCATATAGATCTTGTTTTTTAAGCACTTAAGACCCAATTCAAAATCCTACAGACGCCAAAAACTGTACTTTCTATCAGGCAGATGGGAAGCCTTCCTGGAGGAAGTCTGGGGCCCCTGGAGAGCTGTCTTCTCTCTGGCTCTAGTTTTAAGGTGGAAACCTCCACGTAGCCCAGTTTCCAGTCTCTTCTCCTCGGCAGCCTCTGTTTCACGAGATTTTAGCCCAGAGCAGGACCACAACCCCAAAGCCATAGAACAGTTCACTTTCTGCCAACTGGAAGCCTTAAGTAATTCCATCCACCTAGCCTCTCCCTGTCCTCATTCCTGGAGGCACACACCTCAAAAGTCACTCGGCTAGACAGCCCCCACCTCCCCCCAGTGAACCACTCACCCCAGATCCCTTCCTTCCATTCCACCCCCCCAAACACACCGAACACTAAGGGAGAGCTTCTTTTGGGTGCCTGGGCCGTACCTAGCTCATTTTCTTAGGAGACCCAGAAGTGTCTTCTCGGTATGCCTTTTACTGTGTCTGCCTCTGTCATCACGGGGCTGCTTTGCTTCAACAGAAATGTAAGCCTAGACCTCTAACTGTGCCTTTACATTCAGAGTGGGGCACTGCCTCGTGCAAAAACAAAATTCAGAGAGGCAGTGAGGTGCCAAAGTGAATTTAAACCCTCGATGCTTGGTTTTGCTGGTGATGGCATGACGTGACCTTGTACAATCATATGCTGGATTTTGCATTTTCTTTATAAGGCAACGATTTTTCCCGATACTGTATCTTTGCCGTTCTGATAATGCTAGGTTTTTGATTGGTCGGGTCTGATTTCCTTTATATTTCCATAGTGAGCCGTTTATTTAGGTGGATGTGCTTTACCCAGTGACCCTGGTACTTAGCTGTTACACCTCCTTACCCCCCTTCCCTCAGCGTAGACCACTATTAGCTCGTTCTCACTCTGAGAGCTCTCCATTAATCACTTCTTTTCCACGGTTAACAAAACTCTGTTTTTAAGTTAAGAGGTTAAGGTTTTTTTTTAATGCATAGATGCGCGTTCTGAGAAGTTTTCAGCTGCTTTTAGCATTCTTGACTTTTATTATATACGTGCAAAGCAAATAAATTCAATAAAGCCTATTCGGTAGTCTGTCTTTGTCGCGTGGGGAGGGAAGTCGAATAATGTTATTGATAACTCAGAGCTGAGGGCTGTCCGAGAAGCAAAATGTTCTTAAGAGGTTGTGCAGAGCACAACGCAGATGTGCCCAACCAAGCTGATGGCCTCCAGGTGGGGGTTTGTATGGGGAAGAAATGGTATCGAAGTTTTGCGTATAAATACCTGCTGTTGGGGGTGACGACGGGGTAAGATGGTTGGTGGATGTACTCCAGCCAAGACTAGGGACTAGATCTACGTCTTGTAGCAAGATGGGCTATTAGAACAAGTGTTTTCAGAAGCGAGGGGCCCCGTCGTGCACAGGTAATGAAGTGTAACATGGGCCGTAGAAGGGAAAGGGGTGATGGACGAGGATATTTACCCTGGACCTCCTGTAGCATTTATGGCATTTGCAGTTGTCAGAAAAAAAGCGCGGGGGGGGGGGGGGGAGCCACATACCATATATTTACAGATTTAAATCAGCACGTTTTATTGAATGGTTTCTCTCCTTCCATGACAAATGTACCTTCCTAATGACCTGAAAGGGCCAGTTGGGATTTGGAATTCTCAGACCCCTCTAAGTTCTGCTCCGATGGTGTAGGTCTTCCTGCCCCACCCCCACCCCCGCCATCTCCTGTTCCAGGCACACGACCCCCGTCCCCTCGGGCCTGCGAGCAC